TGTTTCGTTCAGATATCAAGAAAAACGTGCCTTATGTTACGTTCACACGTGGTATATGTTTTTCTGATGTCAGATGAACGTACATTGACAACATAAACCAGGTTTTGTTTGGGACAATTTTAAGGGTTTGTTGGATAGTAAAATAGATATACCGGTATATAACTAAAAACAACTCTCCGGCGTTAGTTATTTCATGTCTAAAATATAATTAAAATAAACTCATAATGGATGAAACATTTATTCTGGCATTTTTATTACAATACCTATATTACAATATGTTTTAAGTGTATATGTATAACGAATTTATAATACAGCAAACTTACAGACTGTCTAATTACGTGAGACAATGCACTTACTCGTATACAACTGGATTAACAACAACAACAACAACAACAACAACAACAACAACACAATAGCAAGAGAGCAACTCTCAATGTTCAACAAAGAAATTGAAATATCAACTAAGCAATGTCATATTAACACCTTAATTAATTTGAAAACAAAAATTGCATTCAATGATAACTACATAATTATATATCACTCTGCATTTTAACATGTAAAACAGATACATTTACAATTAAAACAAACACACTTTTCTTAAAGAAAAACGAGAAATGTACAAATCAGCACTTAAAACTTTTTACACAGTTGAAATAAATCGATAAAATACGCCTTGTTCACATTTTATATACACATTTAAAGTTACATTAAATAAATATGTAAAAATATTTTGCCGTCGGCCTAAAAATCAAACATTCTACAGTTTCATTAACCTGTTTAATAGTATTGTTGTAAATCTAACAACAACAACAACAAAATAGCAAGAGAGCAACTCTTCACGTGAAGCAAAGAAATTGAAATATAAACTTAGAAACAAGAAGTGCATACAATGATAACAACATATATCTCACTGTGCATGTTTGCATGTAAAACAGATACATTTACAATTAAAACAGACACATTTTTTTAAAAGAAAAACGAGAAATGTACAAATCAGCACTTAAAACCTTTTACACAGTTGAAATAAAAATCGATAGAATACGCCTTGTTCACATTTTATATACATATTTTATCATTCAGTTCCTGAAAAATTAACTGAAAATTAACGCTGTCTATCATACGAATATAATTTATTATACAGAGGATATTTGTTTGTTTTGTGTGAAAGATGAAATTTTATTTCTTCGAGTGAGCTTTAAAAACATTTTTCTCACGAGTGGCGTCGCCACTCGTTAGAATACTATTTTTAAAGTTCACAAGATGAAATACAATTACATCTTACAAAGAAACAATCAAATTTTCTTTTTATTTATGTTTAAAAGTAATAGGTTTAATATCTTTTTAAAACGTTTCTTTGCATATAATAAAAAGAAAATTTGTTTAGTTTAGTGTAAGATCGAAATATATTTCAATTTGTGAACACCAAAAATTCATATTTCAGCTTTTGGTGCTCACTCGGTCGAATATATTCCGATCTTACACTGAGCTAAACAAATATCCACTATATATATCTCACTGTGCATGTTTACATGTAAAAAAGATGCATTTACATTTAAACCAATCAATCTTACTTTGCTTAAGAAAAAAAGAGAGACTTAAATGTAGCAATCTATTACGGTATTAAAAAAACAACTTTCAAACAGTTTAAAGGAAATCGATAAAAATACGCCTTGTTCACATTCTATCATACGAATACCATTTGATTTGGTATAACCTTAAAAGGGAGAGATTTTATAATTCCAGTTAGTTCATTTATCTACAATCTGACAATCTGCCTGCCCATACGAATATTTTCATTCCATTTTGATTGATTTATATAAGTTAAATATGAAAAAAATAGATCACTAAGGAAGGATGGTATTACATTAAATGAACGCATACCCCCCCCCCCAAACAAACACAAGCGACAAAGGACCACCGACAAGGAGCCCAACAGGACACAAAAAAAACCTAGGAGATGACACGAGGGCGAATCACGGACGGGGCTTTATTATAAATTATAGATTAAAAACATGCTTCATGCTATGTTCAGATATCAAGAAAAAAAAACATGCAGTATATTTTGCTCATATTTAAAGGAAAACGTGATTAATGTTTCGTTCAGATATCAAGAAAAACGTGCCTTATGTTACGTTCACACGTGGTATATGTTTTTCTGATGTCAGATGAACGTACATTGACAACATAAACCAGGTTTTGTTTGGGACAATTTTAAGGGTTTGTTGGATAGTAAAATAGATATACCGGTATATAACTAAAAACAACTCTCCGGCGTTAGTTATTTCATGTCTAAAATATAATTAAAATAAACTCATAATGGATGAAACATTTATTCTGGCATTTTTATTACAATACCTATATTACAATATGTTTTAAGTGTATATGTATAACGAATTTATAATACAGCAAACTTACAGACTGTCTAATTACGTGAGACAATGCACTTACTCGTATACAACTGGATTAACAACAACAACAACAACAACAACATAATAGCAAGAGAGCAACTCTCAATGTTCAACAAAGAAATTGAAATATCAACTAAGCAATGTCATATTAACACCTTAATTAATTTGAAAACAAAAATTGCATTCAATGATAACTACATAATTATATATCACTCTGCATTTTAACATGTAAAACAGATACATTTACAATTAAAACAAACACACTTTTCTTAAAGAAAAACGAGAAATGTACAAATCAGCACTTAAAACTTTTTACACAGTTGAAATAAATCGATAAAATACGCCTTGTTCACATTTTATATACACATTTAAAGTTACATTAAATAAATATGTAAAAATATTTTGCCGTCGGCCTAAAAATCAAACATTCTACAGTTTCATTAACCTGTTTAATAGTATTGTTGTAAATCTCATCAAATATTGTTCATAAATTTGGATTTTAAACAGGAAACCCCACGGTAACACTAAAGTTCGTATACGAATTTTAACATGCAAATGAAGTGTATAATGAGCTTGTGTATGCGCTACGTCACAGTTTTATAGTTGCTATCCGGAACACAGCAAATGTGATATTTTCTTGTGCAAACACAGTTTTACCGTTTAAGCTTCACGGTGCACTAAACATGGGGTTCAGTAAAAGTAATCATCTCATAAAAAGATTAAATTTGTATGAAAACATCCGTTACAATGCGGAAATATACCGTTAAATTAGGACTGCCACTTATAGTCATGTTTGTTGATTTAATATTTATGTACGGATGATCCGAAGGCGGAGTTTCTCATGCAAACAGAAATTGTACTTCCCATTTCGCCACAATGAGGTTACCTATTTGCATGCTTATAAAACTCATTTTGGTTGTTTGGACACCAAAATAAGACCTGGAGTCGATATAAAACCCAATTTATTAATGAAATGTCGCTATTTAGTTTTTTATGAAATTTATTAAATGTACTTTTAAGCATTCAGACCCTCAAAATTATCTGAAACTTTACGCTGTCTATCGTACGAATGCCATTTTATATGGCATAACTTTAAAAGGAATACATTTTCTAATTCCAGTTCATTTATCTATAATTTGACAGTCTGTCTGCCCATACGAACATTTTTATTCCATTTTGATTGATTTATATCAGTAAAATATGGAAATAAAGGTCGCTAAAGAAGGGCGGCATAAAATGAGCTTAAACCCAAACAAACACAAGCGACAAAGGACAATTAAGGACCACCGACAAGGAGCCCAACAGGACACCAAAGCAACCAGGAGAGGACACGACCGGTTTGTATTATAACCATACCATAAAGAAAATCATAGAAACCGAGAAAGATATTAAAGAAGGCAAATTATACAAGCAACAATTTTACAGTTGTTATGGTTACGAAAAGTTAAAAAGATAATCATGTATAACCCAGTAACCCAGTAACGATAACCAAAGTGCTCAATGCATTAAAAGAGGAGCAAGAGTTTCGCCAACAACGGCTCGATACAAAAATCAAGACAATTCAGTCCCATTTTGTTTAAGGAGCTGTTTGTCCAAGTCTATACAATTTCGCTAACACATGCATGTATTTCCAACAATAATAGGTTTAATAATAATTATAGACACCATATACACGTAAATAATTGCTCTTTTTTGTAGAGAAAGTGAAGGAATTTTAAAGGATAGTGCAGAAAGAAAGATACAGAAAGATGCACTAATTTCAGAAAGCTTCTCCTGGTTCTTCAAATTTGATATTAATATATATATATATATATATATATATATATATATATATATATATATATATATATATTGTGACTATATAACTATTTTGAAAACATTAACTTAGTGTAAACATAACTGATAAATGGATATGCCCAAAATAAAATAAATCAATAACATGCAGTTTGGAATACCAATAAAATGACAATTAATGTTTGTCATTTCTTTTCATTTTCTTTTATTCTTTATTTCCAATTATTTTACAATAAAAATGACATATCAATAAAAATACACAGTAACATTTGTAAATGAATATCACATATATTTAACGATTTACATTTGATATATGAAATACAAAGCCGGAGAAGATTCCCCGAATAAATTTTGTATATATTCTACAGAAAACTGCATTTATATATTTGACAAATCACAAATACTGTTAAAGGGACCATTAAAAGATGAAATAAAAAAAGCTTGTTTATGTAACTGTATTAGGTGTGGAATTTCAAAAGTTTCTATAATAAATAAGATTTTTAGTATAAGTATAACGTAATGATATTTGGGCTGCGAATGAATTTTCCTTCAACACCTTTTCTTCTTAAACCATTTAAACTACAATATATAAGTATGTAATGCTATTCATCACCGATATTACACAATATACATATTGTTTTCATTGTATTGGACTTTCCTCCAACTATCGGATGTCGGTGCTTTTTTGTTCTAAATTTTTCAATGCATATTGTATTTATAAGGTGCATGTATTTCGGATGTGCACATAAATATTAAATATTCTTCAAAAGCGAAACTATGTTTTAAAAGTCAAGACAATACATTCTACAGCCGAACTTGTTTTCTATAAAAGAATACAACTCTTTTATAAACAAAGCGTCCCAAATTTCAATTTTTTTTTAACAGATGCAACATTGTAAATACGACAGACGATAAATTATTATGTGATGTTATGCAACATTGTAAATACGACAGACGATAAATTATTATGTGATGTTTTGCAACATTGTAAATACGACAGACGATAAATTATTATGTGATGTTTTTGTATCAATTTTGTAATGAAATAATATTTCATTTTTTTACAGTTTTACCTTTTCCATAGACATTTTCAGATTTAACCTGTAATTCATTCAGCATCAAACATCATACCAGAATACTTGATTCGTTTTTGTAGTAGGCTCTACCCCGTACATTTGATCATCCGGCTGCTTACGCATTACATCACTCATATTCATTAAGAATTGCCCTTCCTGATCGGTACTTAACTGGTTAAACGTCATTGCTACTTGCAAATCGCCATGTTGATTTGTGGATGAAATAACACCCGCGGAGGAATAGCTCGAACTTTGGTAATAAGGCGAATACGTAGGATTAGACACGGAATATCCATTTGTTGGATCATGACATTCATTTATTGTGCGCTCATTTTCACTTTTTATCATATGCGCGCCAGACACAAAGCTATCATCGGATGAGTTTATGCTTGGAAATAATACATTGTCTTCCAAAAAAAGTGTTTCGTTGTGTTGGCAACCTGGCATATTTCTGTTCGAAGTTTCATTTCTGAATAAAATAAGAAAGATAAACTAGGTAAGTTTACTTGCCTGAAAACATAGACAATGTTGACTATGATATTGCATAGAAATAGAGAATGATAAAGAATCCCGAAAGAACGCAGAAAACGACAAAATAGAAAATGCTGCCGGCTCGGTTTGATTGAGCCACCCATACAGTCTATGCCCCCTAGCACCGGCTTAAGCAGTATTCATCATTTTACATGAAATGGAAAAAATGGAATTTAGAAACATCCGCAAAATTGAGAAACGATCGTTTTATCTGCTGTAAATAAGGTTTTCTTTACAAAGACTTGATAGGAATTACGAAAGTCACCCTTGCCTCAAAACACAATGATAGATTGTTTTTTTTATTCTAATGTTCCAGTTACAACCAAATTCAGTGAATTTTTGTCTGGCTCCCAGTACATGCCATTTATTAAAAACCTTATCTTTCGATGAATCAATGTATTTAATACATACCCGTGTTTTGAATCCCGAAAACCTGTAGCAAACGGATTATTATCAATCTTCAACTGTGTAATCTGAAAAAAGTAATACAAATTAAATGCTTTATGCAATTAAAGAAATATATGCAATAACAACAACAACAACAAACAAACAAAACAATTACAAAAAAACACACACAAACAAAACCGCAAACAAAAGCGCAAAAGGACAAGCACTTGAGAAGAGTATGTTTTTTAGTTTTTTATTCATACCGGAAGACTTTTTTTTTTTTTTTTGATGGCTCACTAAAATGGTCGTTTTACGATATTATTATTGTTTCACGGAATGTCTTAATGTGTATGTATTTGTACTGATATTTTAAATTTGTATTGTTTGTCTTTGCTATACTTCACATGTTTACTTTTTAATTGTCCAATAACATTTGTTTTCTTTAATAAGCTGATCAACTTGAAACGTTAATGTAAAAGCTAAACAAAAGAACAATGGAACAAAAAAATGGTACAAACACTTACCTCCACATTCTGATAGCTTGTTACAGCTATGAATTGGGTCTCCTGAAACACTTTTGTCTGTAATGTGTCCGGATCCCCAGCTCTATTCTGACCTACTTCAACCACATGAACCCGGGGCTGATATTTATGCATTGAATTCAGGTATATCTGTAAAAATAAAACAAAAGGCGTGACTACCCTAGAATACAGGAAATGTTATATATGGGCAGTGTTTGCTGTGTGGAAAATATTCTTGATTGTAGAACATAGGGTGTTTTTGTATCACTTTGATAAGAGAAAACTATAAGAGGCTGTTGCCTGTTCATCTGCGGTTTCTCATTTCTGTATAGCATTTAGGGATCCTAAGCCCTGCGCAGTTTGCGCATGCGCGTAAAAATAGCACTTATTACTTGTTTCACAAAGGATTTATAAGCAAGATATTACTAGCACTACTTAGAAGAGATAGAAGGAAAAAAACCTACTTGTCCGCTAACATCTCTCGCAATGTTTGTGAGTTTTAGTTTGTTAAAAACCACGTTTTCTTTCATCCAGAAAGCTCCGTTACTAGGCGAGTCCGGATGTAAATAAATTCCTCCCGCTGAAAAAGAAGATTTATTATTATTATTATTATTATTATTATTATTATTATCATTAAAACTGTTATTGATGTTATAATCATTACTTCCTCCTCTTCTATGACAAACAAAGTCTTTCTTAATGTGCAAACTAAATAAAGAACATCATGCAAAAAATGAGGATTATCTACAACGCAGAGGAGGTTTATGTCTGAAACTAAAGTAATAAGCCCTTGCCACATGTCTGAAACTAAAGTAATAAGCCTATGCCACCTCTCAGTCCGCGCAGTATACTCTTCTGTGAAGTCGTATCAGGCAGCAAACGTATACATGTATTTGTAAATCCCGATACACAAACAATAACAGAGGCAATTAAAACGCATATATACAATACATGTATGTATTTGGTCCAATTGGATCGTTACAATTTTTAAATAATTCTTTGTTTTTGATACAAAACATATTTTCAACAAATGAGTAAATTTAGTGTTTGTTCAGTCTGCATTGACACATGATCCCTGGTGCGTGACTGCCCCACACCTCGTACCAACCAATCGCCAATGCAGATGCTGACGAACATCCCCCATCCCTTTAATTTGCTTGAGAAAAAAATCAAATCGTTTTACCTCGAGTCTTCCGTTCAATATCATCAAATGGTTTCCACTTTCCATTCTTGAATTTCCAGCAGTAATTGTCCACTGGATATAATTTCAACAAAAAACATTGTACATCTTTGTTGGAACCAGCTCAGTAAATCTGAATTCTAGCACAGGGTACATCCGTCTAACAAAAAGTAATAATCAGTGATTATACAGATGTAAATAACAATGATAACGTATTAATGTCTACAGGGCAGTGATTTTTTTTTTCTTTTTTTCGCAACAACCCATACCCCTGAAATTGTAAATTTTTAGCGCGATAATTTGTCAAATTGTGAAAAAATAAACAAGAATAAATCTTCATCACTTTATTCATACATTTTAATAATTTCAGCTTTCTTCTTTTTATTCCCTCAAATATATCAATCAAATTCTCAAGATTGTCATTTGTCAGTTCATTATTTTGTTTGGTACTGAAAAGCAATCCTGCCAATTGTGGATTTTTTACACATTTTTGAGATTTTTTTATATATGTTTTTGGCATTGCGAAGAGGCCTTATTTCGGGGTCAAAATCAACCAAAAAAAATCACTGCAGGATCTAACTAATCATAAAAAACAATGAACAAATAATATTTCTTCTTATTGTTTTCAGATTTATCTAAAGTTATAAGCTTTTCTTGACTAATTGTTATTCATTCTTGTTGTTTTTTTTTATCAATATAAATTCCATTGATACAGTTTTTTTTAACTTTTCGGAGAACGACATTTTTTGCACGAGCACGACATTTATTTGTACTTCTCAAAAGATAAGTTGTAGAAGCCGGCAACAATGGCAACAAGGCTATAATATGGAATAATTGCAAATTCACCCAGCGTATCCGCCTTCTACCATCTAGACAAAAGGGCGGACAAAAGATGTGAAAGGGTCTTCTTCGCAGTTTTGCAAGACCACTACAACAGATTCAGAAGATATATATTTGTTGCACGAAGCGACACTTAACAAAATGATGTGAATGAAAATGATTCCATCGTAGCTTTACCAAACAAAAAGCAACCCGGAAACTATGATGATGTAATTATTATATTTGCTTAAAATGTTTTAAATGATCTTACCTCCCTCGCCTTGATACTATCATTTCTGTAGTTAGATTGTGAAACTTTGACCACAATTCTCTGTTACATAGAAATACACATGCTTGTTTTGATGCCATACATTGTGACCGGCTGTTTGTACCCGATCTGAAATGCTGGGATATACACATCGTAGAAGACGGTGACTCTGTGAAAGTATACGGTGCTCCGCTTTGCCTCTCATTAATTTGCTCTGATTTGTTACTAGAACAATGCTGAGAGATGAAAGCACCACAGTTATTTGTGCGTTCCTTGTGGTAGTCTTCAAAATATGATTGGTATTGTACATCATGGTACGATCTTGTCTCGCTTTCACCTTGATGGTATGCCGAGAATGTCGCCTGAACAGGACACTGTGTGACATGAATAGGATCTCCAGATCTACTTACATTTGAGGATTGAACATCATGTAACATTCACCAGATGAGGAATATGTCGAGAAAACAGCTCCAGGGGTCATTATGTGTCCATAATTTTTCACATTCGATGGCCCTTTCATACCAGTATTCGATTCTTCACCGCCACACAAAAAAACACTTCCATCAGCACTCATCGAAATCGAATTACCTTCAGGAAAATGAGAGATATTTTCAACGTTTTGGAGATGGTTCGGCATGTCAGAATGTCCGTTGAAGAACTGACCCTGACTGCAAGCCTCTGTTAACAAGTCCTGAATGTCGATGTCTGTGATTTCCATTGTGCATAACACAAAATCTTATCTTTTTGTATGGTAAAAATGTACGTAAATGTTCTCAAGTGTTGGACAAAGCTTACTTTTTTTACCAACTTTGTATTCTGTGAGCATAAACCTTTGATCACAAGACAAGGTGAATGAAACAATATTCATAAATTGCTCTTTAATTTATACATACATACAGTTCTTTATCACATATATATGTACCACATCTTATATAAAGATCGTATGTAGTTTGATTGACGTTTGTGAATTATCACTTCGAAAGACTTGATGCTCTCATTGGCTGTTCTACTACTACGTATGTAGCTTAAAGTTGTGATCAACAACGGTTTATGTCGTTGGCCACACAGTAGACAATCCCGTCCGATTCCACTATTGGCAAATGAATAATTTGATCGAGAATTTCAATTGAATATGCGCATGTGCGATATATAGTTCCAACGTTCTTGGATGCATGCAGGAGATACGTGTATTAGTATTTCATTTTAATACATAATTTAGTCACCAATCGGAGGGACCCAGGAACCCGCCTGCTCAACGCACAACTTTATCACCACCGGTGTGGAGTTCCTTTAATTCTAAAAGGCAAATTAACTTTTGTATGTAAAATGAAACATATTAATACTGTTTACACCAACAAGAGTCGAGAAGTTTTGCACTTTCCATTGAGTGTGGGCTCTGAGTCGACGAGGATGGGGTACTAGGGTGCGTGAGCCCCTCGTACAAAAGCGGCTGCGTTCATTGAACGCCGCCTCTCCTTGTTGATTTTGTTTATCATATTGTAAGGCAGACTCTTTGCTTGGCACCAACAGCACTTTTAAGGGCTACCTCCTTTCATTATTGTCTCAGGTTACTGTTAAGGTTCTCATTGACCGCAGTGACCTTCTTTTGGCTCAAAATTCATATCTTTGGCTAACACTCCGTGGAAATTGCATGGAGGAAAATTATCACCACTTTGTGCATCAAAATTAACTCTTTATGGGGCATGAAAGATGACATGTCCGAGGTCCGTACTCGACAGCAAAAGTTGCATTTTGTGCCCTTACAGGCGAATGGACCTTCATTAAGCATAGACTACACACACACACACACACACACACACACACACACACACACACACACACACACACACACACACACACACACACACACACACACACACACACACACACACACACACACACTTTCAAGAACTATTTGACGGTTTCAAAGAGGGGACGTCCGTGGACGAGTGGTTAAAGTCGTTGATTTCAAACTTCTTGCTTCTCACGGCTGTGGGTTCGAATCTCGCAAAGGACTTTTGAATTGTCCATGTGACTGAACGTCGATGGTTCTACTCAGGTGCCGGCTGTTTGTTTGTTTGTTTTATTTTATGCCTTTTCCCAACAGTATTTCAGTCATATAGGCGGGTAGTTTCCTAACCATCGTTCCTGGAGAGTGACACCAGTACTAGACTACCTTCCTCCGCTAAACTACCAAAGCATCTCCCGGGGATCGAACCCACGCCAGAGAGGTAACTGGATTAGAAGTCATCGACTCCAACCCCTCGACCACGGAGGCGGTTATGTCTGTAAATAATGCAGGGAGGGAATGTAATTTCATGTGTTAGTTTCATATAATGAAGTAATAAATGATAGAAAGAATAACTTTTTTTCATATAATGAAGTAATAAATGATAGAAAGAATAACTTTTCTTTCTTTTTTGCACATTTTAAAGTAAAATGGGCATATTGTCGGTGGTCCTGTGTTGGGGAGAGGGGTGTTTTAATGCCGACCTTCCTTAATTTTGTTGATCTTGTTTTTTTACATTGATAGCAGTCAACTACATGTATAATCCTTTGATGTTATGATTTTTCTTTCAATGCACGTAAACAAAACCCACGGAAACTGTTAAGCATTCCCGGTTTTTCGAGGGTCTATTTTTTGATAATTTTTTACCTCTTACAAATTTACAAAGCAAATTGTATGTTGAAAAGGGCCATAGCCCAAATCCCCCCTTGTTCAAAATTTTCCCAAAACATTTTTGGGACTTTGGGGACTGGCTTTGGGGGTTTTTCCAAAACAGTTTAACTGGAGTAAAAGCCCTTTTTTGATGGGTTTAAATTCTTCTTTATTTTTTTTAGAGTTTACATTTTGGTTGGGGGGATTTCAAATTTTCCCGAACAAAATACTGTTTCCGGGATAAAATTTTTTCATATTGTCATTTTTTAAATTAAGTTCGGGGGAATACTCCCTTTCGGGGTTAAAACTAAAATGAAAAATTGATTTTAAAATCCCAAAGGGGTTAGGCCTTTTCGAGTTCGGGGGCTCAGAATGCCAGCAACTAAATAAAACGGTGTTAAAAAATTTTCCAAATGGGCCCGGGTTATAAATTCCCTTAAAAATTGGAGGGTTTTTCCCCTTTTTAAAAGGGGCGGGGTAAAAAAAAATATAGGGGGAAATGAAAACACCCCGGGTTGCCTTTAAGACTATTTTTTGGCTAATGGAAAACGGGAAAGGAACGTAGGGGGGGTTAATTATTTTTAAAACCCACTTTTAAAACACCCAAAGCTTTTTAAATCCCTAAAAAAATTGCCCGTGATAGGGTTTTCTTGGGGCCCCCCCCCCCCCCTTTCGGGCCCGTTTTAAAAATGCCGGCATTTTTAACTCCATTTTTTAAATAAACTGAGTCAAAATATTGAAAACCCTAAATTTCTTCATAGGGGTTGAAAAGATATGGAAACCAATTTCCCGACAAATACCTTTGGGGGCCCCTTGACTTTTCGAATATATTCCCTTAAACCCTCGATACAATTTTTTAAAAATTCCCAAATTTAAATACATTCCCCGGTTATACTGATTTGTTTACCAATCTATGACATGTTTGCAAAATGTAGCTAGTCTATCGAATTTGAGCTGAGAATGTGAGCAATCTCATTTAAGGAGCTCCACTGAGGTTCAAAAGCCTAAAAAATAAAATTTGAATTTCATTCATTGCTCTCATCTGCAGACTATGGATATATATGCGTAAAGATAATTGAGATATGTAGTCAGAAATGAATTAAAAAAAGTCGTGTTTTGTGTCATTCTTAGTCCGATTTGAGTAAAATTTGTGCAAATTCCGTTGCAAATTCCGTTGAATGCGCGAGTATTTTGAAATTTTGTACACAAGTTATGGGTCTAGGCCTTCACCAAATGGAGAAATTAATCACTAACAATTATTTTAAGTCCCGTAATGTCAAAAGACCTCTGAGTTGGAGTACCACTAACTACTTTAAAATTATTTATATACGTTGTTTTTCTTGGGTTTTCGTAGCTTCAAACTTATTGTCAGGGTGAAAGGGCGATATATGGACCTGGAATGTCTCAAATTTTCAAATTTCCCTTTATGTCGAACGTTTTTTAATAGGAAATTTTCCCCGGCGCCCAGTAACGGGACAAATCCCCGGGCATTTTAAATTTATTTTTAATTAAAAATTTAACAGGTGGTGGAAAATTTGCTTGGTAAAAGTGAAATTTTCGTTCCCAAATGAATTAACTTTTTAAAATGCCCTGGAGATACTATTTTTAGAAAATTTTGGATTTGTTTTTTTCAAGTTTTTAAAAATTTTTGGATTTTGGGTTTAAAAAAGTAAACACCCTTGGGAAAAAATCCTTTTGAAAACAAAAATTAATTTTTCAAAATATCTCTGAAATTTTCCCATCTTTTTCAAATTTTTTAAATGTTTTATTGTTTTTTAAAACCCGTACTTTGATTCCTGGTAACTGTGTGTCAATTAAGAACTTTTTCGCTTTAGCTACCACATTATTATCTTTTTTTATCTTTCACGAGAAAATAATTATTACAAATGTAATTTAAACGTTTCAATTTCGTTAAAGTACGCAATGAATAAAGATATTCTTGATATTCTGTCAGAATGTTAGCCACTTTAAGAGCGTTTTTGCCTCGAAAATATATTTTTACCTACATGAACAACAGCAGCATTTTTCTTCGACCGAGCCAGTTATGCGCATGTAACATTTTCAAGAAATAAAACAATGGGTAACACACGTCATTGATGACACATTTCTGAAGTGATGACATCTACAGATCTAAAATATACTTATTAATATGCTATAGATTTGGTTGGTATTTTGATATTACGCAATAAGAACAATCCCATTTCGGTGAACTTGCTGTCCAATATTGATTGAAGATACTGCATTACAGTAAGATACTTTTGGATTCTACTCTGGAAACAAAAAACTATTAATTAATACATAACTATTTATGTCTCAAATTTTGTCAACCTGCTACGTTTCTAGAGGTTAAACCATTCTTTGTGTTCTTTTTTGTACTGTTTATTTTCTGAATTACATATTACATGTAATCTTCTTTTTTTCTTACGCTACTAATTCCATGTAGATAAAACCACACATAGATTAGTAGTAGTTATTTTGGATTCGTTTCTGCAGATACAAAAATATTCTAGGAAAAGTGAACGCTTTAGAAAATTCGTAAAAAATACTTCTTTTAAATATCTCAAGTTTGAAATAAATGAAGGGATTTTTATTACACTCATAAACATTCATCATTTAGGGGCCACACAAGCCAAATATCAACCCAGTGTGTCTTTTCTTGGAAATATTACAGATAGTAAAAGAGAAAATGGTGCCGCTGTTGGCAGAAATTAATGTATTTGTTTGAGGCTGCCGGTGTTGGCAGAAAGACAAAGCGGTACTCTTTTATCAATTTCCTAACTATTTGTGTACTTTTTATTCAAAATTGATATTTTAAACTATCATTTGTAATATTTACTCAAGATAGAAAGGTTATTTATGCGGTAGGTGCATCGAAAAAGCTTTATGTTGACCTGCAGGCTGCAGGTACAGGAAAAAAATAAGATTCGTTTAGAACAAAGGGGGCAATTAACACTCTTATAAATGTTTATGCATGACAACTTGATTTGTGGTGCCACTCATTGTTAAGTTCATGGACATAGGACTGTTCTTTATGTTTTATTTTAATTATGTGAAATCGCATTGTATTAATGTACTCCGTTTTGATTTATACGAGTATAACCTTTATTGTGTGTCAATAAAAAACTATTTCGATGCACGTACCGCATTCCCAATGCTTTCCATCTTGAGGGGGAAAAAAGTCTGTTATCACTGGCGCCGGAGTAACGTTGTAAACTGACCCCCATAAAATAATGACCCTCGGTCAATATTTTATATAAAATAATGACCCCCAGTCATAATATTATGACTCACCTACACGTAGAAAAATGACCCTCACATACATGTAGAATAGTGACCCCCTGTAGAATAAAGACCCCCAACCCCAACGTAAACTATAAAAGCCCTCACTGGACTCTTTCAAAGATACATTGTCAGTATAATTATCTTCAGCTGAGAAATGTGGTAATGTCATTTGTCCGTGCATGTGTCCGTGAAACAATTTGAGCAAATCTTTCCACAACTATTGGGCGGAATAGCTACTATAACAGAAGTCTAGCCTCAGTCTGAAGAAGAATATATTTGATCTATAAATAAAGGGCAATAGTATTTTCTACAAATGACAACGGCTAGGGATATGTCATTCGGCTGCAACCCTTGTTTGTTCTTAATTTTGACTTACGATTTTTATACTCAAAGGTTGTCCATCTCATTACTTCGCCTAATTTTAAGGGAATATACATAATACATGTACATGAGTATCTTATTGGTCACAAAATATAAAGGATTTTGACATCACTTCCATAGCTGATATTAAACATAGTCCTTTTGAGAAAGAACTGATTTTTTTCTCCCAGTCAAAATACCTGATAACCTATAAAAAAAAAAGATGATGGCTTTGAACTCACAACTTAATTACCGAAACTCTGTGTTCTCACTGAAGTTGTAGATTTTGCATTGAGCATTTAATACTTTAAATTTTCATTTTATGGGATGTTCGCTTATTCTTCGCGGAACCTCTAAGTTTCATCGTTGTTTTTGTCAGCTGTCTGGGCAGTAGCAGCAGTAGTACCAGAAGCAGCAACAGACACAACAACAACATCAACAACAACAACAACAACAGCAGCAGCAGCAGCAGCAGCAGCAGCAAGTATAGCCATTGTAATATGACCTTGACTTTCGTTATAGAGTATATAGGGATCAATATTTTATAGATAAAATAGGGGGGGGGCAGTATTTTATAGAAGGGGTCAGTATTTTATATCCATGTCACTTTACAACGTTACACCGGCAATACGGTGTTGCACGCCATGAGTTATCAGATTTTACGCATGTCTTATGATGTCTGATCCAAAATCAATTGAATACATAATGTAGCTACCAGTTAATTTCAAGTTACCGCCGTTAAAATACATATATTTAGACTAGAAATTGGGCTTAATTGTAACTTTAATTGGGCGTATCAACCCTCGATCATTTGTAATTAAGGGATCTGTAAAAGAATACTTTTACTTTATAAAGAAACAATAAGTTAAATTTATTTACATATATGACTTCTACTGTTATCTATGCGATGAAGAAACTTTATAACAAAATTGACGCGATTTGCATCTTTCTTTCCACTAATATTACCCCATATAACTAATTGTATCGTATTATATCAGAGAATTTGAAAACAGTATGGTTATGTTTTTGTTTCATTTCTTACATAAACCTTATGTAAAATTTTGGCATTGCTTGATTGCATAATTTGAAAATTTTGGGGCGTAGATGATGTAACATAAAGGTAGCCCGGACATAATTAATTTGAATTCGAGGAAATTTTGTATAGAAATCTCACCATTACACTGTTCATAGAGATGTCTTTTAAACGGTACAAGTCAACCCGGCCCCAAGTCAGCCCGGCCCCAAATTGGTCAACCCGGCCCAAAACCAATTTTATTTCTGGTCAACCCGGCCCCATTTTTTTTATTTATTTTGCTTTAAAATGTTAACACTTATCAAGAAATAAGATAAAAATTAACAACGAAAACAAAAACAAAAGTTCAATGATGATAATCATATTTTATTATTTATTTTATATAAAAAGTATCAATATCAACTATCAATATCAACGCACAAGCAACTTGTATATTGTATAGTTCAACAATGTTCCTGACACACCCCTACAATGTTCATCACATACAAACACTTCACTCGTCGTCTTCTTCTGCCTCTCTTCTACCTAGTATCGGTCTATACATGGTGGACACAAGCTTCAACAGGGCGGTTGCGGAAGGCTCTTTCGAAATAAAACAAAACAAAAAGTTATAGATAGTTATCAGTGTAACTAGTTTAAAAATTGGTACTAAACGATAAATTATTAATGTTTCTTTCCAATATTAGCAAAATAATGGTACATGACTCAAGTTAATTTCTTCAATTATTGTTCGAAACTTCAAATTACCATTTTTATTAAATTCAAAAATGAAATTGTCGTATTATCTCATACAAAAAATAAGTATTACCTATCCCAGGCAGGCACTGAAGATTTTAGACTGCATTGAGCGGTACGTTGCACTCTGCAGTCTTCGTAACTTCATTTCCGATACTTATAGGCGTATCTGAGCATCAACCTCAAGTGCCTCTTTGTGCAGATGTCTCACCAAAGTGTAGAAAGGAGGAGAGACACCTGCACGTGTGTTCAGGCGACGATGCCAACCTGTAAAAGAGAGAACGTTTTATAATACATACATTCATCATATACGTATATATATATTAAACAAATTAAAAAAACCTAAAGGATAGGGTGGATTGTTTATGAACATTTTGCCTAACCCTTTGGCTTATTACAATTATTTATTTATGTATAATTTTGTTTTAATGTAAAATCTATATAAAAATCACAATTAAATGATTTAACTATTAATTATAATCTTTACCTTCGCAGTCATTGTTTGTTCGAACTGGCTCTCCGAAGACTGACCAGTTCTCCACAGTCCACACAGTTGACTGGAGCCAGGTCCTTCTGATATACAAAAACAAAGGCTCTAGTTGGTCGGATGTATTGAGATCCTCCAAACTGGAAAACACGTCCTCAATATAATCTTCAATTAATAATAAATCAATTTTATTCCATCACACAACAAAATGACTTATATAGTTTTCTTTGAAAAATATATATTTTGGGGCCGGAATGACCAATTTTGGGGCCGCACTGACCAATTTTTGGGCCGCATTGACCAAATAAAAATACCGTGGGGCCGGATTGACCGATTTTGGGGCCGGGTTGACCAATTTTGAGGCCGGGTTGACTTGGGGCCGGGTTGACTGTTATTCCTTTTAAACGTCCACTAAGTCTAAAAAAATCAAGATATTAAATATCTTTCATATAATTTTCTTTTTACAAATAATTTAACAAATATAATGGCATCGGGAGCTAGATTTCAAAATTAAGCGGTCAATACAAACATTTTAATTTTAGATGCCCTCAATTAAAACGTCACGAGTAGCAAACACATAATTGATCACTGATACTCATAATCAGTTGAAATATTTACTATTTGTAGTTACAGGTATAATAAAGTAATGTATAATCATTCTCATTATATATTTCCACTCAGCCTAATAACTTAAACCTGTGTGAACGGTTTATCCCTATGTACAGACTTTTTCCTCCTTGAGAAAGATAAGGTCCCACTAAAAATTATTTCGATGTTTCTCTTACAAGTCGAAATACATTGTAGTTAGACTTATTTCTAACCCTGCCAGGTTTTTATTCAATTCAAGTGTTCGTTTATCTAAGATTAAACGAATAGCGATAGTCAACTGTATAACTTCTTTACAGTTATTTCTTTAAAAAATTAATACATTTTTCATTTCGTTACTAGGCCTATTAGCTCATGTTGATTCCCCTTCCAATCCCCCGTCAATAGTACGCCACTGCAACACTGTATGGTATAGGCTTATTCAATAACATTGAGAAACGCATGCGCAAGAACACTGTAGCAAAATGGCGAGCCTGTTGAAAGTGACTGGATGTGTTGCACAAAAAACGCTGCTACAAAATTTAGTACGTTTCGATTTTATGATTTTTTAATATTTTCTCAAATTTTACTTATTTTTGTAAACATCAGCGTGGTTTGATTTTGAAATACTTTTTGTCTAAGCTGGAAAATCCTTAAAGAAATTCTAATGTTATGCTGCCAAGGTGAAGGTCACTACTTTCGTAATCGACGATTTAGAAATATTTTTTTCTGTGAAACTATAACAATAAAGTTCATATCAATTTAACCCATTCTGAGGGTTATCTTATGTTGCTTATGGTAGTCACTATTATCAATTGTACCGAAATGCCTGTCTTTGTTATATAACTTTCTATGTTTGTTGCCCTTGAAAAGGAAGGCTTCAGTTTGCTGTAGGGTCAAGGCTGTAGACCTATAGACAACTATAGTTTTGAAATTGTTTTATAATCTGGTACTGAATTAATATTAGTTTCCCATTATGAATTGATAATTGTGGTTGCCTGCTGTTTTACGGAATCTAAAAGCCAAAGTCCGCAAATGTATCACTGAGTATCCGTTTCTCGTATTATTGTGGTTTCTCTTATTATCTCGGAATGGTTAAAACGGATGGAAGCGAAGCTCGCGACTTCTGTCGATATCCGAATTCTAAATCCGTCTATTTAGCAGAGCTGCTTCATCTCCGGCAAAAATAATGAAAGAAATGTGACAAATACAGATTAAAAACAAAATAGCTGTGGAAGTTCCCAGCAAACACCCGACGTTGACCCAACGTTGGATCAACGTTGAATTTTGGTCGCGACGTCGGTGACCTTCATACAACGTCAAATCGACGTTGAATCCCCGACGTCTAACAGACGTTGCATTTTGACGTCGACTCGACGTCGGGTTTTGGTCGGTAATCTGACAATAGGTAAATTTAATTTATGAAACCAATATATATATAAATGAAAGCATAAACAGCGAGAATTTTAAGTTTAAGTTTAGAAAAGGAACATTATATATTTATTTTCTCCATCAAAACAACAGTATCACGTGGGTGGCTAACGTACGATATTCGATAGGTGGCGCTCTGTAAACGGATAGTCGCAGATCAGTATGAAATATATTTGCTCTATTTTCGTTTAAATAATATCTTATCTCCTCGAATTAGTCTAAGAAGTGTTTATATAATTTACAATGAAGTTGTTATCATTTTTGAGGGCTTCATTTTATAGTGGTAAATTATTTAGTAAATTCGAATTTGCGACTTATCGGATTTGAAATTCAATTGTATTGGCGGACAAAAAACGACGGGTTGACAGACAAAGTTGTGTATTCCAAACAAAAGAAAAAGGTAGGCAAACATTATATATTGTTTTTCAATGCTAATTTACCGCATGTTTGCATGGATTCGATGGTTATTTGATCATTGAAATGTTTGACTGGAAAAACTTAATGTCACATGATTTCGCGAGATAAATATTTTTGTTTCCAAGTAAGAACACTTTATCATTTGCTATAGAACAGTCTGTATAATCGGATCATTTTTCCCACACTATATCGCCATGCCAAATAAATGCACAATCAATGGTAGGAAATATCCTAGCAATTGAAATCAATAAAAAGTTAAATGCAGTACGTAAGACTCTTATTATTCAAATGCTGGTAAATAAAGTTTCCTCTTATTTCTTATCAACATGAATTTCACCTATATGAGGGGCCAGTCATTTACACATGTATCAGATGCAGTTTGATTTTGATATCTGTGTAGTTGTTAAACTACTCGTTGTTAATTGTAGTACTTTACCCATACTGTAAGCATACCATGTGTTTCTTATATTATGATAATGATTCATGGCATTTGATAGGTGTAAATGATACGACTTTTGTAAGATATATCTGAAAGCACATTGTATTTGACTAGTATCTTTTTATTAATGTAATCAAACAACATATTATCAATCAGAAAACACATTATCATAGTTATAAATCAATAAAAGTAATAGTTTGTTAATTAGCCTGCTTATCAACAAGTTGTATGCTCGTATCATAAAACGATTTTACACTAAGCCAGTCTGTCCTATATACACTTAGCAGACCAGATCATGCTGGGCAGAGATGCTATCTATAAAAATGACAGTAACATGTGAATTTCTTTGATGTTGTATGAGCATTTGTACAAAGTACTTTGAATAATAGAATATAAAAAATAACAATATCAATTTTTGCGGGAATAGAATTAATTTGGTATTTGTTATATCAGTTTTTTCATGCGCTTATGAGTCAACTAAGATTAATAGTAATTTGATTTTGCCTATTGTATTAGACAAACATCCTTTCACCACATGGTTAAATTCTAAAAACGATTATATTTCGTCTTTCAGATTGTGAAAAGTATGATAATTCAACATGTGTCAAAAGTTCATGAGGAAGATGAAAATATTTAGAGGAAAAGAAAAATGAAAACCTACCAAGATTTTGTGACAGGTATAATTCAAAATATTATAGAAAAAACAGTGATCTTATTACCCTTGATTTTATAATGAAATTCTTCACGAAGCCATTTTTTATCAAAATTAATAGATATATACAGTAGGTACACGAAACTACATGGTTTAAACTAAATTAAAAATAATAAGTGCATGTATCTTTTTAAGTAGTTGGAGAGTTTTGTTAGAATTTCGTTTAATTATAATATGTAAAAGTGATTTATTTCTTGCACTTGTAACTGATTATTTTATTTTTTTTTAATTTCAGAAAGTGTGATGAGATCTCAGGTTGGAGACGGGAATGATACGCTATGCCCCAGATCGACATAGTGGAGGAGGACGAAAGAAGCTAGAATACTAATGAAGATACATGAACATTGCTATTTATAGTTAAAACAAAATATTCAGAATATTGTTCCATTTAACATTCAGATCTAGATTCAGTTATAAAATACAAAGACAAATATACATTTAGCGAGTTGGATAGATGATTGAAAAATCCTAAACTCTGAGTGATCAGTTCAGTGGTGATATAAGAAAAAACACATGCATGGATGTTTGCTATATAAAATGTCAGTGTAAATATTCAAGAAGGATTTTGTTTAACATGCTTAATCAATACATGAAGCGTTATTAAAGTACATACCGTCAAGTTAAATAGTTTCAAAAAATATTATGTAAATCTTGCGTTTGTTATATAGTACCACATTTCTTGTTTTGTACTTGTGATTCCGAGTATAAAATAAATTGCTAAAATCATAAGAATGCTTATTTTTAACCCTATTAAAGAGCTTTAAAATGAAAAAAAATCATATTCCAAAAGTTTTGAATGAGGTTAAATCATGGTTAGAAAATTTGGTCAGATAAGGTTGGCATATGGTCAGATAATGGTCAGAAAAGGTTGGATTATGGTCAGAAAAAGGTTTGATTATGTCCAAATAATGGTCAGAAAAGGTTGGATTATGGTCAGATAATGGTCAGAAACGGTTGGATTATGGGCAGAAAAGGTTGGATAAAGGTCATTTTATGACGTTGTATAGACGTCGGTTTCTGACGTCTAAAAAACTTTCAAATCCAACCTTCTGCCAACGTTTACCCAACGTCAGTGTCTAACGTCAGTACAACGTTGGTACAACGTCTTTTGTTTGCTGGGTTTTCGTAAAATCCAGAGAAATATCATTAAATTTATCAGTTATTTTCCGAAAATCCTCATTTTTTTTAGTTTTTTCCATGTTGCAGAAACCTGTCAAATGACGGTCTCATACTACTATTTGTACATAACATCTCAAATCAATAAATAATATACGAAACATATGAACTCCAATTAAAAAACCAATAATGAAGCATTGGTTATCAATATCACTTTTTATTTTTGACAACTAAACAACAAAAACATGTGTCACTACAATGGAAAACTGTAGTATTAATTGCTAAATGCTCATACAACTAATAAATAAACATAAACTTAATATATTTAAGAGGGATTACATGTACTTAAAACTTAAAGTGTTGCTCCTCTTTTGTCTGCTGTGGTAGTGTCACATGACTAATACAGTATAAACAAGAATTTTAGAGAAAGGAATCACTTCCCCTCAGAGCATGCTTGTCGCTGTGAAGGCACAGGTCATTGGCAGAAGACTTGAACTTGGGATGGCGCAAAAGATCAGGACTTGTACTGCGGACCAGCTGCCTTTGTCCTGACTAATGCAGAGGGGAGTGGCCCTACAAAGTACAGACTTCCTGAAATACGTCGGTCCGACGGACATGTCCGATAAATTTTGATCAGGTCCGACGATTTTTTATTACGGATCGGTCCGACTTTTATCCAAGCAGCATGTATACAAAATGGCGTCGCTAAAGGTGCCAAACCGGGGAAAAATCGAAAATCTACGTCAAAGGAGCGCGCAGAACAGCAATAAAAGGATGAAAAGAATAGACCTGAGACAAAATGTAATGAAAAATGGAAGCAGGACCTTGAATCGTTGGTGTATGACAGGGGGAGTTGAAAATGCGCTGTTTTGATCAATTTTATTTGGTCTGACAGATTTCGTTTCGGTCCGACAGATTTTCATGGTTTGTCAGACCGAATGTCTGACAGTTTTTTTCAACTTTCAGGAAGTCTGAAAGTAGGCTCTCAGTCGACCAGGATGGTGTGCTAGGGTTCCTAGCACGGATAGATGGCTTTTGCTGGCACCAACAGTTCTTTTAAAGGCTACCTCCTTTCATTTTTTCTCAGGTTACTGTACATTTAGGTTCTCATTGACCGCCATACAGTGATCTACTTTTGGCTCAAATTTCATATCTTTGGCTAATACTTTGTGGAAATTGCATGAGAGGTAAACTATCACTGTGCTTAAAAATTAACACTTTATTGTTATGACTGGTGACATGTCCAGGGTCCATACTCTACAGGGAAGCTGCATTTTGTGACTTTACGGGCGGATGGACCCTAATTAAGCATAGACTTCACACGCAGTAAATTTTTTTTTTCAGTGTTATGCTTTAGTTAGTAAGATACTCTTTAGCGCAGGGCATTGGTCTACACCCAGTGTTGGTCCTACCAATCGGTTATGTCATCTGGCTAAAGTCATCCAGGACTATGAGAGATTTATTTTGCGCTAGGCAGGGAATCCATTTTTTCGAAGTTTGTGTGTCATTTACTGCTGATTTTGGCTTGTGACTTCCAAAATATAGTGCTTTCACTTCTTTACCTATATATTGTGACTTCCAATGTCAAAAGTTTTCAGTTTCCGATTTCCAAATTTTGAAGTGTAATGGAATCCCTAAGATAGGGTCATGCATGTGAGATATTAAATGAACACATTCATTACAGCCTTGTAACTTACTGTGACCTCTCACTGAGAAACAGACTATACTAATAATAATAATGCAGATAGGCAAATATATGAAGACACAAAGTGAATACAGATATGATACAACACAACATGGAAGATACAACATACACATGCTATGATTGATTACAATAAGTAATCAATGCACAGGTTACAGTTGTTTTCAAGAAGTAATTTAAAGTTAACAAACTCTAAAAATATTGCATTTATTGAACAATATGCTCAAATTGTTCACACAAACGGTTCGGTATTTGTTTTGCATGCAACTTCTTTTCAAAGGAGTCACAAGTTGGGGAGAGAAAGGCTTCTGTATATTTGAACTGAAGTGTGCCATTAATATTGTTTTCTTTTTTTTTTTCAGGCAAAACCTACAGCAGTATGCAGCAAGAATTTCCACTTTAAAATTTTTGGACAAAATCACACAAACAAATCATCTAAAACAGGCGAGCAGGTATTGAGAAAATTCTTTTTTTAATTGTTTCCAGTATTTTATTAATTTATTAAAGGTTTTCTCTGGTAACTACATGCACGTTTCCATGTGCACCAGCTTGGGCATAATATAAGAATACAAGCAACTAATTACTATAGACATGATAAGTTATGACCGAAGTTAAGTAATGATGTGTTTAACTGAGAATTATTTTGCATGGCGCTGCTCAATTATGTGGAATTTGTGTTATAATAATGAAGAATTAAGGTTCATAAATTAATACCAAAAAACTTGTTGGTTGATATAGGACAGCGAGGGAATTAAATTCCATAAGTTTGAAATTATTGATAGAAATATATTCATTGAAACAATATATTAGCATAAATGAAATGAGCCATTTTTTACTGGTTTTATCCAGCCTTTATATTTACCTTCACCATGAGTTAGACTTTTTTGCTGGACTATTAAAGAAAAGGGATAGCTATTGTGCTTACCCCAGTGTCGGTGCCACACTTTGGTTAAGTTTTTGCATGCAAGTTGGTATCTCCAAAACAACTGAAGGGAATGGGTTAAAACTTCACATACTTATTTAAGAGCATACTAGGTAATGTGTCAAGACCCATGACTCTTAAATGGATTTTGAAAGAATTATTGCCCTTTTTCATCTGAGAAAATTCTACAATATCAAAGCTCTTGTTTTACTATTGAGCACTGAGAGTAGCCATGCATGCTGTGCCACCAACAGCTCTTTTGTGGAATATTTGTGTATAAAATTGTATATGTTTTTGCAGTTATCGCGAGACTACCCTGTCATAGACCATACTTACGATGCTGTAGTGGTGGGTGCTGGTGGTGCGGGGCTCAGGGCTGCTTTCGGTCTTGCCAATGAGGGCTTCAAGACGGCATGTATCACAAAGCTGTTTCCAACCCGTTCACACACAGTTGCTGCACAGGTAAAATTTTATAATAAATGTACCAATTTTTCCTTTAAGCTTAAACATTCATATTTATGAAGACTTAACATTAATTTTTCAAAACTGTGACATAATATTTCAAATAGATTAACACTGCTGTGACAAAGGTTTATGTTTCTTTATTTAAACTGACCTTATTGTCCCCCGCCTTTTCGAAGAAAAAAGGGGGATATAGAAATAGGCTCCGTCCGTCTGTCCGTCCGTCTGTCCGTCCGTCCGTCACACTTTCGTGTCCGGTCCATAACTTTGTCATTTATGAAAGGAATTTGAAATAACTTGGCACAAATGTTTATTATAATAAGACGATGTGTCATGCGCAACAACCAGACCCCTACCTCCAGGGTCAAGGTCGCACTTGCTCATTCAAGGTCAACATTGCCTATTTGAGGGTATATGTCGTGTCCGGTCCATAACTTTCTTATCTATGAAGGGATTTTGTAAATACTTGCCATAATTGTTCACAATAATCAGACGATGTGTCATGCGCAAAAACCAGTCACCTACCTTCAAGGTCAAGGTCACACTTGGAGGTCAAATATTAACATAGTCTGTTACAGGATATATTTCGTGTCCGGTCCATAACTTTGTCGTTTATCAAAGGAATTTGAAATAACTTGGCACAAATGTTTGTTATAATAAGAGGATGTGTCATGCGCAACAACCAGATCCGTACCTTCAGGGTCAAGGTCGTACTTGCTCATTCAAGGTTAACATTGTCTATTTGAGGGTATATGTCGTGTCCGGTCCATAACTTTCTTATCTATGAAGGGATTTTGTAAATACTTGCCATAATTGTTCACAATAATCAGACGATGTGTCATGCGCAAAAAACGGTCACCTACCTCCAAGGTCAAGGTCACACTTGGAGGTCAAATACTTACATAGTCTGTTACAGGGTATATTTTGTGTCCGGTCCATAACTTTTTCATAGATCCAAGGATTTTGAAAATACTATGCACAAAAAGTCACTATAATAAGAGGATGTGTCATGCGCAACACCTGCATCCCTACCTCCAAGGTCAAGGTCACACTTAGAGGTCAAAAATTAACATAGTCTGTTATAGGGTATATTTTTTGTCAAATCTAGAACTTCTTCATAGTTCAAGGGATTTTAAAATAACTTGGCACAAATAGTCACCATAATAAGACAATATGTAAGGTACAACACCTGCACCCCTACATCCAAGGTCAAGGTCACACTTAGAGGTCAAAGGTTAACAGAGTCTGTTATTTGGTATATTTTTTGTCCCGTCCATTACTTCTTCATAGATTAAGGGATTTTGAAAATACTTGGGACAAATAGTCACAATGATTAGATGATATGTCATGCGTAACATCTGTGTCCCTACCTCCAAGGTCAAGGTCACACTTTGAGATCAAAGATTTACATAGTCTGTTATTATAAGGGTATATTTTGTGTCCAATCTATAACTTCTTCATAGTTCAAGGGATTTTGAAAATACTTGGCACAAATAGTCTCAATAATAAGACGTTATGTCATGCACAACACCTGCTCCCCTACCTCCAAGGTCAAGGTCACACTAAGAGGTCAAATCTTAACATGATAGATTTTTAAATTCCGTGTTTCATTTTATTTTTTTAACAAATTTATTGTTACATTTGCAGATCTAGCATTGATCATAATTTTGGAGTAAATGTCCTGAGATCCATTATAACCTCAATCTTTTGAAATAGCACAATTTTATGCTTCATATAGAATTTCCCGAGGCGGGGGACGTTGGTAACTCTGTTACAAATTCTTGTTGTTATTGTATTATTCACTTGTTCCCTCATTCATTACACGATGTGAACACAAATGCCTTATAATTATGAAGTTTCTATTTTCAAGATTATAAAAAAAATATTTTGAATAATTGTATCTTACTAGGGTGGGATAAATGCTGCATTAGGGAACATGGAGGAGGATGATTGGCGATATCATTTCTACGACACAGTGAAAGGATCTGATTGGCTGGGAGATCAGGATGCGATTCATTACATGTGCGAAGAAGCCCCGAAAGCTGTGATTGAGGTATGTGAATCCAATATGATCATTGTAACTTTTACCTTAATAAACTTGCTGAAGTGTAAACAGTTTAAACAGTATTCGTAATTATCCGATATTAGTTTTTCAGGGATATCAATATCCTGCTTTTCAGCTACTTGAAAAAATTTGATTAAATTCCATAGAAATTGTCCTTGGCAGGCTCTTACAGGAATGACTATTATATAATTTTTACCTGCTTTACAGAATTTGATATAACTTAAAGAAATAAGCCAATAATTAAATATTGTCTACGCTAGCCATATCCTCAGGTGATAGCCAGTGTGTATTCTAGGACTTGAAAAACAGGGGATTTTTATCGAAAAGTTAGAATTTATTACATTTGTTGATTATTTTCCTTCTTTCTCTATATATATAAAATTTCCCCCTTCCTCTGAAAAAGAAATATAGAGGAGAACTCTCAAAAATATGGGTGAATACCCCCCATCCCCCCTCCCCCCCATCCCCCCTCCTAGAATAGACACTGGATAGCTAGGTGAAAGCTCTAGCATGAGCCTCTAGTTTATTTTTTACTGCCAGAGAAATATTATCCAGTCTTCCAATAATAAAATCTTGTGTCTATGCTAACCATATCCTTAGGTGAGCGATAAAAGCACCAGCTTGACCATCTTGTTTATATTTCACAGCTGGAGAATTATGGTATGCCATTCAGTCGTCTTGAAAACGGAAAGATTTACCAGCGAGCATTCGGCGGACAAAGTTTGAAGTATGGCAAGGGTGGACAGGCTCATAGATGTGCGGCTGTAGCCGACAGAACTGGTCATTCACTTCTACATACACTATATGGAAGGGTAATAATTTGAAATTATTATCAAATATGATCATGTAGACAACCCCGACTAGATTTGTATTGACCATGCTAATCTTACAGTGCTTAGGCCATTCCATTGAAGATTTAGTAAATATATGTTGAGTTTGTGATGATAACAGAAATTTCTTCAATTAATATATAGTATTCTAGGACTGCGTAACAAAACTACATGTGTATTCTGAAAATTATAAAGGAAACTACATGGAATTATTTCACATCAAATTTAGTAGATAATTTTTCGTTTTTCATTAGATGAATAATGTGTTACAAACATTTCACTTTACACAGAAATAAATTTACATGAAAGTTATCAGACTTTTAACAAGGTCTGGTTATTTCTGGGTCATTCCTCATATAGTTATACTTATTTTATCTGTCACCGTACAACATTTGATGGAAAACTTTATACACCTACTTCCCTATCAGAAACTGTAATGGATCTTGGAATAAAATAACTTCAGAATTTCATGAATATTTGTGGAATTAGAGAATATTTATTGTGGTGTTAGGTAAAGGGTTTCTGAAACATATTTAAATATTTTTGTTAACTATTCGGGCCCTTGCTTTGGTGAATGTCTTTATAAATTTGTATTGAAACAAACAAGAAAGAAGTTAACAAGAACATATATCAAGGCTAGAGTGTATCTTCTTAATTTCAGTCTTTGAAATATGATACACATTACTTCATTGAATACTTAGCCCTTGATTTGATCATGGAAGATGGTGAATGTCGGGGAGTTACGGCCCTTAGTCTTGAAGATGGCACAATACATAGATTTAAATCAAAGAACACGATTTTAGCAACAGGGTATAGTAATATTTCATTGTCTTCATTCATTTGCATGACGTAATTTTTTGTTGTTTTTGTTAAAAAATGATGTATTGATGTTTTTTTAAAGAAATCTTCTTATTGCTTTGAAGTTGAAAAATGTGATATAATATTATATTCTTTTCATGCTTTATGAGCAGTTTTTCATTGTCCCCAAAACATGATTTAATACATTGTGTTAGTAGTTATGCTACAAAAAAGATTTATTAAAGATGTATGAAAATGTGGAGAAATCAGCAATAAATAGAGGATATTGAATGAGTGTAGGATCAATGTTGAATTTATTGATAGAGTTGAATAAAACTATATAATATGAGCCTCTGGCAAACATTTAATTTTTTTATTCAACAAGGTCAATAAATTCAGTAATGAACCTACATGTACACGAATATAATATTCTATTTATCACATATCCAAAATAAAGACTACTTCAAATGCAAAAGAATCATTTTTCATGGACACACCTCTTTACACTTTGTATCGCATAATTGACGTCACATCAAATTAGTGTTTAATGGTTTTACTAGGAAAAAAAAGAAGAGTCATTGAAAGTCTATGGCTAGAACAGTAAAAAAAAGTGCCATTGCACAGTTGCAGTATAAATATTATTAGGAATGTTGTCATTTCCAGTTATCAGGGGAATTAAGTCAAAACTTTTAGAAAAAACATGAAACATTTTACTATTTAAGGGGATATGGAAGAGCATATTTCTCGTGCACATCAGCTCACACTTGTACAGGTGATGGAACTGCCATGACAGCCCGTGCGGGACTTCCCAATGAAGACATGGAGTTTGTACAGTTCCATCCAACAGGTATTGAATTTTTCCTTAGGTTTTATAAAAATTTACCATTCATCATACACAAATCAGAGGCTATCTTAGGGACAGCTTTCTGTCTTTCAGTCGATTTGATTTATAAAAAAAGCTGATATAAATCACCTGCTGTTAAATCATGGTTCTTGTGAAGAATGTTCACAGTGGAAAATATAACATATACCCATTTTAGACTAGAGCCTTTATTTGGCTGTAATATTAAAGGGAAAAGATCACTGAAGTAACTGCTTTGATAAACTATGGCAAACGTAGAAAAATATTTTATGAATCTAATAGAACCAATCCTGAAGCACAAAAATTGTGAGTCAAGCTTTAAATTGAAAAAAGTTCATTATTTCTATCACAGCAGGAGACCAAAAAGGCTAATAAATATGAAGAGATGCTTTTAAGATAAAACATTTGTTAATTCACGTATTTACTTTCTTTCAAGATTGTTTCCATATGGTTCACAGTTTTTTATTATTAACTCATGACTGTGGCAGCTGTTATACATCAGTCAATAAGCAACTATCAATAAATATCGGGTTTTGGACAAACAAGCTAGAGAAATTATCATGTTTACTATGTACTTCAAAGAAGTGATTTCTTGTATAATAACTGATAAGTATATTGGATATTATGAAACATTTGTAGAAAGATATGGAATGAGTGTGGGTTCAATACTGAATTTATTGAACAAGTTGAATAAAATTATATTATGCGAGCCACTGGCGAGCATAATATTTTTTATCAAACAAGTTTAATAAATTCAGTAATGAATCTACACAAATGTTATGTGAGCTTCTGTAATATTTTCTATCTCTCTCTATTAGTCGTCCATGTAGTGTATTGATAGTGAAATCCCGTAAACCTAAAGAGACAGATTTAACTCATATACAGGATTGGGGCAGTACCTTTAGACTCTTGCAGAAATCATAATCACAAAATAGACAAATATAGATTTTTTCGCCGATTCTTACATTTTTCATTTATTTTCATACATGGTTTGAAAAGATTAAAAAAAACCTTTTAAAATTCATTCCATACGGTGAAAAAGCAAGATTTTAGCATTCAAGCGCCTTGTCCGGTATAAAACGGTTTATACGGTAAGAAGGAGGGGGTTAAAATGCTATATGGTTTATTTCGAGTCCAGGGGCGGCAAAATCTGACTTTAATTTACTTGCTCGTTTTTATGTGAAGAATTTCTTAAGTTGTTGGTATGATATCTATATAGTAAATTCTTGAAAATTTCTACTTGTCCGTAGACTGTACAGGCTGTGGGGCAATCAGGGGAATACACACAATAAATTTGCCGCCCCTGGAGTCCATTGAATAAGATGAACAAGGAATCGGGAATGAATTTGTATGACGTCAATGGAATTTTTTTTTTTCTCCAGGTATATATGGAGCGGGTTGTTTAATTACTGAGGGTTGCCGTGGTGAGGGAGGCATCTTGCTCAACTCGAAAGGAGAGAGGTATATGGAACGCTACGCCCCAACTGCCAAGGATCTTGCCTCCAGAGATGTTGTTTCAAGGTCGTCTACTATTGAGATTAGGGAAGGCAGGTATGTATTTAGTGGACAGGATCGTTTTTCTTTTCATTTGGGTCAGAATTATTTCACCCGGCCCATATTTGATTGAAATAGGTGACAAGTTTTCAGGATTATTCCTGAAGTTTCAAGATTTTCAGTCTCCTGAAAACTTTCTATTTCCTATGTAATACTGTAGAAAAACTGGATTTTTAGGATTTTTAAAATTTCCAACATGCACCCATGGATATGTTTGAGAGTTCCTTTTGATGTAGAAAAAAGAGATGTGATAAATAATAAAACAGCAATGATTGTAAAATGAAATGATAAATTTTCACTTTTTAGGGAAACAATAAATTTTCACTTTAGAGAAGGTATCGGCAAGCATTTTGTTTTTTGTAGTGTATGTCTGCATGTCTTTGCCATATTGTCATTAATCTATAACCACGGGCCTTTGTAGCTGTACATCATCTTCCACCAGAGAAGAGCCTCATTTTGAATTTCGGGGTAGAAATTTTCAACATGTAGGAAACTCTACAATAACTTTGTTACTTGCAAGATGGATGTTTGGAAATGAAATGAGCCGTGTCATGACAAAACCAACATAATGGGTTTGCGACCAGCATGGATCCAGACCAGCCTGCGCATTCGCGCAGTCTGATCAGGATCCATGCTGTTCGCTATCAGTTTCTTTATTTGTTATAGGGTCTGTAAGCGAACAGCATGGATCCTGATCAGACTGCGCGGATGCGCAGGCTGGTCTGGATCCATGCTGGTCGCAAACCCATTATGTTGGTTTTGTCGTGACGCGGCTCAAATTTTCTTTAACTAGGGGCTGTGGACCAGATAAAGATCATGTTTACCTTCAACTTTCACATTTACCAGCAGAGGTATTGAAAACTCGACTTCCAGGTATCTCGGAGACGGCCATGATTTTCGCTGGCGTTGACGTCACTCGAGACCCTGTACCTGTGCTCCCAACAGTACATTACAACATGGGCGGTGTTCCTACTAATTACAAAGGACAGGTGAGTTGGCGTATAGTTAAATTTATTCTTTAAAGTGACGTTATGTCTCTTTTTGTTTGCTGTCCAGTTAAATTAGTAATATATTTCAAAAGATTGGCTAATGGTGATTGACCAGTAATTGATTATTGAATAATGTTTATGATAAATGTTGATGTAAAAACTGCTTAAATTAAAAAGAGGCTTCCCTATTCTTTTTTAGAGTTAGAACTTTACAGATACAATTTGAAGATATTTATTGACATTTTGATTATTTTGTCATTGTAAAATATAAAATTGAACACAATTATAACAAAATAATCTAGGAATCTTGATTTTTACCAGTTCAGTGACCATTTACACTTTGGATTGACATAATGCCACTTTAATATTTTAAATTTTTCAAAAAGTTATGCAACATATAAGGAACAACACACAATTATTCTGTATTAAAAAAAAGTTAATTTCAATAATTTTTGTTAAAAAAATGTGTTTTGTATGATTTTGATGTTTAAAATTTTTACAGGCAATCACATTTGATGGTAAAAATGATAGAGTTATCCCAGGTCTGTATGCCGCTGGAGAGGCAGCATGTGCCTCGGTTCATGGTGCCAACAGGTTAGGCGCAAACTCACTTCTTGATTTGGTGGTATTTGGCCGTGCCTGTGCCAACACTATCATTGAAGAAAATAAACCAGGGGAGAAGATCGGTGATATAGCTCCAGTAAGTTACTTCTTTATGTTTATATCGTAGTTATGTCATATATCATGAACGGAGGTCATTCTTCTGTATAATTTTATCACAGTTAAGTTATATATCATGATTCTAAATTTTTATATCATAGTTATGTCATACAACATTGACTGAGGTCATTCTACTGTATAATTTTATCACAGTTAAGTTATATATCATAATTCTATATGTTTATATCATAGTATGTCATATAACATGAACGGAGGTCATTCTACTGTATAATTTTATCACAGTTAAGTTATATATCATAATTCTATATGTTTAAATCATAGTATGTCATATAACATGAACGGAGGTCATTCTACTGTATGCTGTTATCACAGTTAAGTTATATATCATAATTCTATATGTTTATATCATAGTTATGTCATATAACATGAACTGAGGTCATTCAGCTGTATGGTTTTATCACAGTTAAGTTATATATCATAATTCTATATGTTTATATCATATTTATGTCATATAACATGAATTTAGGTCATTCAGCTGTATGGTTTTATCAGTTAAGAGATATATCATAATTTTATATGTTTATATCATAGTTATGTCATATTACATGGATGGACATCATTCTACTGTATGATTTTATCACAGTTAAGTTATATATCATACTTCTTTATGTTTATATCATAGTTATGTCATATAACATGGACTGAGGTCATTCTACTGTATGCTTTTATCACAGTTAAGTTATATATCATAATTCTGTATGTTTATATCATAGTTATGTCATATAACATGGACTGAGGTCATTCTACTGTATGCTGTTATCACAGTTAAGTTATATATCATAATTCTTTATGTTTATATCATAGTTATGGCATATAACATGGACTGAGGTCATTCTACTGTATGATTTTATCACAGTTAATTTATATATCATAATTCATAAATTCTATATTTTTATATCATAGTTATGTCATATATCATAGACGAGGCCTTTCTGTTGTATGTCTGTATTAAAGTTATATCATATATCATTGGCTTTAGTCACTCTTCAGCATGTTGATATCATAGTTATGTCATATATCATATAGTGAGCTGTTGTCAGACTTGATGAACATGTTGGGTACCCTTCTGTTGTCAAAATGTACAAATGAGTTGGATAACATTGTGTTGTCAGACTGTATGAATATCTTTGATGCTACTGTACTGTTCCACTGAATTAATACATTGGATAAACTTATGTTGTTAAACTATATGTGTGTGTTAGATACCATTGCTGTCAGACTTAGTCAAATATAAATGAGCCGGGCCATGACAAAACCAACATAGTGTGTTTGCCACCACCATGGATGCAGACCAGTCTGCGCATCAGTGAAGTATAACCAGGATCCATGCTGTTTACTTTCAAACTCTATTAAAGTAAAGAAACTGATAGCCAACAGAATGGATCCCAATCAGACTGCACGGTCTGATCAGTATCCATGCTGGTTGCAAATGCACTATGTTGGTTTTGTCATGGCTCGGCTCATTAATGTGTTCGATAACATTGTGTTATCCGACTATGATTGTGTTGGATTACATTGGGCTGATCAACTGTATGAATGCCTTCAATACTTTTATGTTATCAGACTTCTTGAGTGTGTTTGATAACCCTGTATACTTAAAAAGTTGAAGCTAAATTCCCTCATTTAGGAGTATAATGTTTAAATTAAAATTGTTTAAGTACATAATGTGTCAAACACAAATAATATATAGCCTAAGTAACATGAAGATTAAATTTGCTTTGTTTGATTTACATAATGTTTTGAAATGCAACATTCTTTATTTTGAGTATGATAAATATGTTAATGAATGTTTTGTTGAAATTCAAATTATCGTGCTATTGGTAGGAGACAATTTCTATTATCATAATCTTGGTGGGAGTTCAGATTTATTACCATCATTGACTTGACTGATAATTAAAAGTTCTATGTTGTTTTATATGTTTGTCCAAAGAAAAGGTCAGTGTTGATGTAATGGAAAAAACCCAACCATCTAAATTCTAAGAAATGCCACTATTCCAAAGTGGGGGAAAAAACCCTGCTAATTTCTGTAAGAAAATTGCCATTTTGGATGTTGACAAAACATCTAATGGTCATTTCTCTCTTGCAACTGATTCAGAAATCTTATGAGATCGATATTAGTCACTTTTTAGCTCACCTTGCACAAAGTGCAGGTGAGCTTTTAGGATGGCCAACCAAATGGCGTCCATCGTCAGTCGTCCGTCCACATTTTAAATATTCTAAGGACATCTTCTATGATACCGCAAGGCCAATGTTAATGAAACTTGGCAGGAATACTCTTTGTATGAAGCTCTATCAAGATTGTTCAAAGAATTCCATTTCATGCAGAACTCTGGTTGCCATGGCACCCGAAAGAAAAATCTTAAAATATCTTCTTTTAAAGAACCCAAAGAGCTAGAGCTAAGATATTTGACATGAAATATCTTCTAGTGAGTGTCTACCAAGTTTGTTCAAATAAAAGCGCTGGGGTCAAAATTGGCCCTGCCCCGGGGGGTCATTGATCTTCCCTATATGCATATAGTAAAAACTTAAAAAATCTTCTTTTAAAGAACCGTAAGAGCTAGAGCTTAGATATTTGGCATAAAACATCATCTAGTGAATATCTACCGGGCGGTCGGTCGGTCGGTCGGTCGGTCCAGACGTCCGTTGCATTTTCCTTGTCCGGACCATAACTTTAAGACTAATAGTTGGAATTCAATATAACTACATACAATGGTCAAGCACATTGAGAGGAAGTGCAGTGCACAAGAACCATAACTCTATCTTGACTAATTACAGAGTTATTGCCCTTTGTTACTTTTCCTTGTCCAGGGCATAACTTGAAAACTACTGGTTTGAATTCAAAACAACTTCATACAATTGTCAAACACAATAAGGGGAAGTGCAGTGCACAAGAACCATAACTCTATCTAAAGTAATTACAGAGTTATTGCCCTTTGTTACTTTTCCATTGCTTTCTTTTGTCCGGACCATAACTTGAAGACTAATGGTTGGAATTCAAAATAACTACATACAATGGTCAAGCACATTTAGAGGAAGTGCAGTGCACAAGAACCATAACTCTATCTTGACTAATTACAGAATAACTGCCCTTTGTTACTTTTCCTTGTCCGGGGCATAACTTGAACACTACTGGTTTGAATTCAAAACAACTTCATACAATTGTCAAACACAATAAGGGGAAGTGCAGTGCACAAGAACCATAACTCTATCTAAAGTAATTACAGAGTTATTGCCCTTTGTTACTTTTCCATTGCTTTCTTTTGTCCGGACCATAACTTGAAGACTAATTGTTGGAATTCATTATAACTTCATACAATGGTCAAGCACATTGAGAGGAAGTGCAGTGCACAAGAACCATAACTCCATCTTGACTAATTACAGAGTTACTGCCCTTTGTTACTTTTCCATTGCTTTTTTTGTCAGGAGCATAACTTGAAGACTAATGGTTGGAATTCAATATAACTTCATACAATGGTCAAGCACATTGAGAGAAAGTGCAGTGCACAAGAACCATAACTCCATCTTGACAAATAACAGAGTTATTGCCCTTTGTTACTTTTCCTTGTCCAGAGCATAACTTGAAAACTACTGTTTGGAATTCAGTACAACTTCATACAGTTGTCAAGGACATTAAAAGGAAGTGCAGTGCATAAGAGCCATAACTCCATTTTGACAAAATACAGAGTTACTGCCCTTTGATACTTTTCCTTGTCTGGAGCATAACTTAAAAGGTACTGGGTGAAATTCAAAACAACTTCATACAATGGTCAAGCACAAAAAGAGGAAGTGCAGTGCACAAGAACTATAACTCCATATTCAGTATTTATAGAGTTATTGCCCTTTGTTCCTTTTCTTTGTCTTTATGGACTTATTACTGAGTAATTCAATAAAATTTCATCAATGGCCAACCACATTGAAAGGAAATGCAATATACAAGAACCACAACTATCTTTAATTGCCCACAACCATAACTCTATATTTCAATTCTTTTACAAGATATTCTGTTACTAGTAACATCCTCATTTCCGAAGCAGTCTTGTGGGGGTATTAATCACATTTAGTGATAGTTCTAGTTACAATTAATGTAATCAATTTTGAGCAAGGTAATTAATTATATGATGATAACACTACAGTGTTAGCATGTAATCAATTAAAAAATCGATGATTACAATTAGTGATTACCTCAGGTCTGACCCCCTTATACCTAATAAAATGCATGGAAGGGGCACTTTAGGGTTCTATGGTTTTTCTCTACCAGTACAGAGGGTAAATCACCATCAGAAATCTACTGTGACTATGTGACTTAAAATCAAACCAATCAGTTAATTGATTAGTTGTACAGTTTAAGATGGTTTATGGGGAAAGTTGAAGTATTTGTGAAAATCTGGTAAGTGTCTGTTCAGAATCTGAATGTCACAGTCATTGATTTTAAGCACTGGCCCGGTGGCCCTTGGCCAGTGTGAATTTTAAAAAAAATTTAGTAAAATATATAGTAGAATCAATTCAAAACTGGAATTCAGGCCAGTAAAGTCAAAATTTTAAATTCATTGACTGATGAAATATTTTCAGAAGTGGAAGTGAGAAAACATACGACTGAATTTATTTTTGCATTTTTTTTATAGAACGCAGGTGAAGGATCTGTTGCTAATATTGACCGAGTGCGGTTCTCAAACGGCTCGGTACCCACAGCTGATCTACGTCTCCGGATGCAGAAAACTATGCAGAACCATGCAGCTGTGTTCCGTGACGGCCCCACATTAGAGGAGGGTGTTAAAAAGATGCGGGATCTTAATAAAGAACTGGATGATCTAAAGGTACTATTTTCAATATCTATTAGTTACAGTTTCTACAGATGTAGGGGGAAAAAGACACACATAAAGGCGGCATTAGGCATTGAGCGGATATGCGAGCACTGTGAAAACTAAAGAAATTCAAGGTTTAAGTCATTATTGTGGAAGAACTTTAAATCAATTTAGGGAAATAATGATTCTTGAATGGAGAAATTCACAATATAGAAGAACACGCAACAATTAAATTTTGTGTTAACTTATGGAATCGAAAAAAATTAAAACTTACACCAAGAAAAAATATGGCAGAGCTTTACCACCAACAATTCAGCTGTAGGTTATATGGATTTTGTCACATGAAATCTTGCTGTTTAAATATAAAAAAAATGTGATATTTTTGTGCATTGGCAATATATAAAAGAATAAGTAACTAAGTGAGATTTTATTCATTAAAATGTAAGGGACACAAATAGTTTGTCCAGAGTTATCATTGTTCTCTTGTAAATTGAAATTTGCTGTTCTTTCTAAGATATTAAAAAATGACATTATGTCCTATCTATGTGTAAATGGTCATTGAACAGGTAAAAATATGATGTATAAAAATACAGTTTGGTAGTATTGTCCAACAATATTGACCTGGCACTTCATTAATTTCCGTAAAGGTCAGGTGATAAACAGTGGTATCTAATGAATATATCGATATCTTTATTAACTTCACATGTCAACGAATTGTGGTGTATTGGTATAGATGCCTGACTACTGATCTGAAGTTCCCTCGTTCGATACCTTACCAACAACACATTATGAAGACATACATTTTTTTTATTTATTTCATTTTGAAATTAACTTGCAAGAATTAATTTGAAATCATTTTACTACATCTTGTTTTTAGCTCGACTATACAAAGTATATGGAGAGCTGTCCTACTCGCCCTGGCGTCGGCGTCCGCGTCCAGATTTCAGATTAAAGTTTTGGTGCAGTAAAATATTTTTCACTATAACTTTGTCATTTCTTAAGGTACCAACTTCAAACTTCAAATATATGTTCCTTATCATCAACCACATCTTATGTGACAAGGTTCATAACTCTAGCACCAATATTTTCAGATTTATCTCCCCTTGAACTTAGAATTTTCCTTAAAAAATACTATTTTTTACTGTTACTTCTTTATTTCTTAAGGGATGAACTTCATACTTCAAATATATGTACCTTATCATCATCCACATCTTATGTGACAAGGTTCATAACTCTAGCACCAATATTTTCAGATTTATCTCCCCTTGAACTTAGAATTTTCTTTAAAAATACTATTTTTTACTGTTACTTCTTTATTTCTTAAGGGATCAACCTCATACTTCAAATATATGTACCTTATCATCATCCCCATCTTATGTGACAAGGTTCATAACTTTAGCACCAATATTTTTAGATTTATCTCCCCTTGAACTTAGAATTTTCTTTAAAAAATATTATTTTTTACTGTAACTTATTTATTTCTAAAGGGATCAACTTCATACTTCAAATAAATGTACCTTATCATCATCATCCACATCTTATGTGACAAGGTTCATAACTCTAGCACCAATATTGCAAGAATTATCTCCCCATCAACTTAGATTTTTTTACTAGAAAAATGTTACTTTTTACTATAACTTTTTTAGTTTTAAAGGTATCTACCTCAAACTTCAAATACTTATTCCTTAAAATCAATTATATTTTATGTGACAATGTTCATAACTCTTGAAGTAATTTTTACAGATTTATTTCTCTTTGAACTTAGGATTTTCTTTAAGAAATATTATAACTTTGTTACTTTTTAAGGTATCTACTTCAAACTTCAAATATATACTTCTTATCATTACATACATGTTGTGTGACAAGGTTCATAACTCTAGCGTGACTATTTCTAGAATTATTTCCCTTGATCTTGGAATTTCTTTTAACAAATGTTATTTTTTGTGTCGCCTCTACGGAGTAGTGGCGTTATAAAGGGATCACTTCTCCGTCGTCTGTCTGTCCGTCTGTCTGTCCGTCACAAAACTTGTCCGGACTACTCCTCATAAACTACTGGTGCAATTTCATCCAAACTTTACAGGAATGATCAGTACCAAGTCTAGTTGTGCATATTGTCAGCATTTTCTGGTTCAATGATTTTTGACAGAGTTATGGCTTTAATAATTTTTATTTTTAAAGTTTGTCCGGACTACTTCTCTTATACCACTAATGCAATTTCAATGAAACTTTACAGGATTGATCTGTAGCTCAAGTCCTTGCGCATATTGCACGGGTTTTCCGGTTGAATGATTTTTGGCCGAGTTATGGCCCTTTGATAAAAAGGTGTTTTTTTCTGTGTGTTGCCAGATACACAAAAGCTTGTCCGGACTACTCCTCAAAAACTACTGGTGCAATTTCATCCAAACTTTACAGGAATGATCAGTACCAAGTCTAGTTGTGCATATTGTCAGTATTTTCTGGTTCAATGATTTTTGTCAGAGTTATGGCCCTTTAATAATTTTTATTTTTAAAGTTTGTCCAGACTACTTCTCTTATACCACTAATGCAATTTCAATGAAACTTTACAGGATTGATCTGTAGCTCAAGTCCTTGCGCATATTGCACGGGTTTTTCGGTTGAATGATTTTTGGCTGAGTTATGGCCCTTTGATAAAAAAGTGTGTGTTGCCAGATACACAAAAGCTTGTCCGTACTATTCCTTATAAACTACTAGTGCAATTTTATCCAAACTTTACAGGAATGATCAGTACCAAGTCTAGTTGTGCACTGTCCGTCTGTTTGTCCATCTGTCACAAAACTTGTCCCAACATAAAATTGGCCATCATGAGGCGACACATGTGATTACTGATCGCTCTTGTTTACTACAACTTAATACATAATTATACATAATTGATTTTTCTTTCATAGTTTTGTCCTCCTTACTGCGACCAGTATTTTATTAGTCGAGCTTGGCTGTCTCCTGTGACAGCTCTTGTTAGGATACCTTTTAAGTAGTGTTTTTATACAATTTTATTTTTTATTTCATTACATTATCTTAATTATTAATAAAAAGGACAGCACGTCCATAATACAAATAAAAATTCATACACAACCAGAACTCAAAACGTTTTGCACGAGTTAAGAGAGAAATAGCAATTTTAAAATAATAAAAAAATATAAAAGTGGCTGAACCAGGATTCGAACCTACGAGTGTGCGTCTATATTCTTGAAGTGACAGCACTTTACGACTGTGCTAAGAGGGATTTGTAATTTATATCATTTAACAACTGGTTATCGATTTACAATAGATTGTAACATTTACGGAATTTACAGACTATGGGGTCAAATGCAAGAGTGCCAGGTCAATGTTGTTGGACAATACTGTTAGAACAAAGGAATGACATCATAGTAGTTATTATCCCCCGCCGAAAAATTTCGGCGGAGGATATAGAAATAGTCTCCGTCCGTCCGACCTTTTTGTCCGGAGCATATCTCTAAAAGTATTTGAGTTATCAACTTGAAACTTCATAGGTGGATAGACCTCATTGAGGAGGAGTGCAGTGCACAAGAATGATAACTCTACCTTGCATGATTTTTGAGTTATTGCCCTTTGTTATTTTTCAAAATTGATTTTTGTCCAGAGCATAACTCCAAAAGCCTATGAGATATTAACATGAAACTTCATAGGTGCATAGATTTCACTCAGGAGGTGTGCAGTGCACAAGAATGATAACTCTACCTTTCATAATTTTTGAGTTATTGCCCTTTGTTATTTTTCATACCTAATTTTTCACCTGAGTGGAGCATAACTCAAAAAGTGTTTGAGATATCAACATGAAATGTCATAGGTGGATAGATCTTATTGAGGAGGAATGTTGTGCGCAAGAATGATAACTCTTCCCTATACAATTTTTGAGTTATTGCCCTTTGTTTTTTTTATGCTATTTTGTCCAAGCTTATCTCAAAAGTATTTGAGGTATCAACTTGAAACTTCAAAGGTGGATGGATCTCATTTAGGAGGAGTGCAGTGCTTAAGAATGATAACTCTACCCTGCATTATTTTTGAGTTATTGCCCTTTGTTATTTTTCAAAATTAATTTTTGTCCAGAGCATAACTCAAAAAGCCTTTGAGATATCAAAATGAAACTTCATAGGTGCATAGATCTCACTCAGGAGGTGTGCACTGCACAAGAATGATAACTCTACCTTTTATAATTTTTGAGTTATTGCCCTTTGTTCTTTTTCATACTTAATTTTTCAATTCAATTTTTTTCTCAAAAAGTATTTGAGGTATCAACTTGAAACTTCATAGGTGGATAGATTTTACTGAGGAGGGATGCAGCACACAAGAATGATAACCTACCCTGCATTATTTTTCAGTAATTGCCCTTTGTTATTTTCAGCCATCAGTATTCACATAGGTTTCAAATCTGTAATCATTATAGCCATCAGTTTTCATTACCAAAAGACTTCTTAAAATGGAATTATTCTGCTCTACTACATATACATTCTTCCAATGAGCAAACACATTCGGCGGGGGATGGCCATGTTGACATGGCTCTTGTTAAATGTATGATAAACATTTTCATTTCAAATATTGATCATTCACCATTACAATAGACAATCCTTTGAAATATATTACGTATTTAACTGAACTTTACAGTCGGAAAACTGCGCACAATATCCAGTTGTAGCTTTTATTATGATAATATATATATTGGTATTCATTGTAGATATTTGAATACTAATTTTGGTTTGATATTACAGTTGTTTGATCGTGGAATGATCTGGAACACAGATCTTGTGGAGAGTCTAGAGTTACAGAACTTGATGATAAATGCTCTTCAAACAATCGAATCTGCCGCCGCTCGTAAAGAAAGCCGTGGAGCACATGCGAGAGAAGATTTCCACGTAAGTTTTCACATCATTGTCCTCATACAGGACCACAGAAAGTAACTCTACTTGCTGTCACTTATGTTGAGAATATTGTAAAAATAACTTGAGTCTCTTGGGGTAATAGTGCATGGGTAATAGTGCATAGTAGCATCCCGAAAATTGAAATGACACCAGGGGCAGAGCATAGATTTCTGTTGAGGTTGACTAGGCTATATCATAATATAATTGTAGACTTATCCTAAAATTGGTAATGAATTTACCCTGAAATTGGTAATGGACAGTTCCAAAATTTATCAGTTGGACAAGTGCATTTTAAAAAATCCAGCATGTTCAGGGTTTTTGGCGTTCGACATTGACCAATATCTGTTGTCTTAAACAATTATTGTAATAGTAAATGCTGAGTAAAGTTTGTTTTATTAAATAAACTATAATGAACTGTGATAATTTTTTCCAAAGTGTGACAGAAAATTCATAAAAGTGATATTGGACAATTCCAATATAAACACCGGAATAGACCAGGGTACAGAGTAAACTGTCAATTCATTAGTACAGATTTTACCCCACTTTTAAAAGTTTAATTCACAAAAATAAGCACAAAAAGTAATTTAATGAAGAGGAATTTTTTTTTTTTTAATTTCAGCAACGTTTAGATGAGTATGACTATAGTAAGCCACTAGAAGGCCAGACTGCTCTACCATTAGAAAAACACTGGAGAAAACATACACTCTCATATACAGACAGTGCAGGAAATGTGAGTAAATTTAGATTGGTTCTTAAAGCATCATGCCTCCAGATTAGCGAAAATATTTCAATAAATCAAACTTGTGAAATGTGTACTAAGAGTTTAGGAAAAAGTAGAAAGATTCAAGATTCAAGTAATAATTTACATGTTATGAGCAATTAATGGTGAATTTTAATATTATGTGTAACTATATTCCTTCTGCGTTACTAACGCAGTAAGGGCATTTTTTGCATAATTTGACCTCTTTTCATAAGTAACATGGGTTGCAAGTGGGATTGATAATGTGTAAATTGCTTCCTTTTAGTTACTATATAATATTATACATTAAATTTCATTTTCAAAATTTTCACCAAAATAAGCATAAATCTGTGTGTGCTGCTTTAATGATGTCAATATACCTTACTTTTTCAAATTCAAGGAATGTCATATGCTGTGTATGAGTCTCATGTATGGAGTGATAATGAATTCATCCTTCTCTTGGTTAGGATTGGTTTCATGGGTTATTTAGAGGAATACTGATTTTAATAATAAAAAAATTCTCGGTTTGGTTGGGTTTGAAGAAATATTAGAGAAATATTGATTTTGATATTCCTTCAAGTTGTCTTCATATTCCCACATGATTTATGCTCATGGTTCACCTTTGTGTGCACATAACCAAGGTGCCTGGATATGTACTCACAAAGCACATGCAAAGCAGACCTACATTGTATGTTTGTAAAGCTGGCTAGCTTCCTCCTGTTAGAAAATTTCAACCCTAGACAAATTCAAACTTACAAATCTATTTTGACACTGGTGTTTAAAGGCACATAATGCTTCAGAAAAGTTGAATTTTTTCTTCTTTAGAAATGGCTGCCATGATTTTTTTACACTTAAATAATTGTTTTAGAGCAAGTTAAATACTTATTATCTAAAAAAAATAGTGTCAAATGTAAAATAGTTTGTCATAAAAGTAGCAAAATGTAAACAATGCAGTATTTTGACTTCCTTACAAAATACTAAATCACTAAAACTCTATTAAATTGCCAAAAAGCAACAGAAACAAAAAACAATTCAGGTAATTGGCCAATGAGTACTATATTTTTTTGGAAACTATATAACATGATATTAAAAATAAAAAAAAAGCTTTTGAAAAATAGATATAAAAGTTTTTTGGGGCATAATGGGCCTTCACATTTTTTTTTTAATCCTACAGAGGTTTAAATTTACAAACCTACTTTGATACTTGAGTTTATTACTGTAACAATATTGATATCAGAAAACAGTTCAAGTATTTTATACAAAAACAGTAATATTATTTTCAGTCTTAAATTGTAATTTTGTTAAATGTTGTGAATTTTCTCGTTTCAGACTAAACTGGATTACCGCCCAGTTATAGATCAGACACTAGATCAGAAAGACTGTCCAATGGTCCCACCAGCCATACGTTCTTATTGAGGATTTTGTGTACCAAAAAACTATTTATAGATTATAATAATTACCGAGTCTGTCCTTCTAAATGAGCAGTGTAACAAATAAAAGTACCTTTTGTGTGGGTTTTGAAAACACACGCACACAAACCAATGATAATAAAAATAGAAAGGTGATAATAATAAGTTAAAGGTCAAGATGTTTTCATCTTTTATTGTGTTCTTTTGTTTATTGTTGATGGAAGATTTTCATAATTGCTTTTTGATCGTAAACAACAATTTAAAAAATTTTAATCTAAAATGAGAAAGGCGTTTGATTCTCTACTTTTGAAAAGTCTGTCAGACAATTAAAGTATGACATTTTTATGATGGTTCTGTCCGCAGTTGTACAGCTGATGCGAGTCTTTATGATATATAGTCACAGGTGTGTGTCTTGAAATCTTTGAAGTATTAAAATCACTTTGAAATGTTGGTCTGTTACCACTATTGAATTTAATGTAAATGTTAAATTGTTTTTCTGTTAATTTTTTTTTTGTATTGTGTATTATGTATGAAATTACTGTGTAATATTTGTGAGATACATTTATATATTGAAATATTTGCAGTAAAGACTTGAAATAAGATCCAAATAAATTGTGCAGTAGTGATCGAGAAATTATCGTCCAATTTCTATATTCAAACATATTTAGTTATTGTTGTAAAACTGACATATAGATTGAAAGAGAAGACAATTAATTTATGTTGAAAATAATTGTACATTAAATGCATAGATAAATGTGGCAATGTCTTTTTGTTTATCAGATATATATTTTTGTGAAAAATGCCATATATTGGTTAAATACTAAGTATACACCTATTGTCTTTACATGCTTAAATACCCACTTAAATATTTAAGGGATTTGTCCTAACAATTTCTAATTTCTTTTTCTTCTTTTTTTGTTTCTTTTTTTTAAACATTTAATAAACAGAATATATTTGAAACAGAATATATTTGGTTAGGTTTATGAGATATAAACTTCCCTCTTGATTGTTGTGGAAACAAAACTAGATTTAAACACACGTTTGTGCTAAATTATAGTGCTTAGAATATATATTTTCTTATTTTTCATTGCATCTTGACTATAGAAAGCTTTGCAGACATATTGTCTTTACTGATCGTGTATTTATTGAATATTTGTTTTATTACAAAACTGAATAAAGTATATGAAATTCTGAGACAATTAGACCTTGTTTATTATATTAAGACAATTAATGTGTGCTTTAAAAGTAAGTGTAATAATCCATAGTGATTAACCTACCAGTATATCTACTAGTAGTGTATGGGCTCTTTTCTAGACTTATTTATTCAGCATCCTGCAAACGCTTAAATCTGCCTGTACACTGACCAAGGTTTATCTACAGAGCGTCTGCATGACCTAGAGTAAAAACGTACAGCAAATTGCTTGTTTGGGCTACAGGACGATCAGCAGGGGCTCTTACTAAGATGAAGTGACCTACACATTTTAGGACATTTTACTTTTGATGTCCCTTTTAAATAGAAAGAAAATCAGCATGTCGGGTTTTTTGCCGTGCGTTTGTGGGGGTTATAAGCCCTTGCATATGTCCTGAACAGCGTGCCGTCTTTTTACTGCTACAGGACGAAAAAAGTGATTAAAAGCTGCATATAAAGTTTTGCAAGCCAGAAATAGTTCTGAACCTATGCGAGGAGTGAATGGGATGGCAACTGACCTTTAAATGTGACTTTTTTCTCTCAAATTGCCGGTATTGATCTTTGTAGGTTGGAATCACGATCCCTGGTTTTAGATAGATAGACAACCACGTCACCAGCTGAAAGCTTCAGTGTTGTTACCATTAAATCAGAAAGAAAATTGTTACCCAAGTACTATTAAATTAAGTTTTTCGTCCAGTATTTGGAAAATAGAAATTACGCTCCAATAAATATTATTTTAAAACACATGACTTGGGGAATGTTATGTAAATTTTACAAACTTGAGACATTGACCTGAAGAAAGAAATATTAACACACGAATTAATGTGCTGTATTATTTTAGACACTTGGTTCTTACACTGAGACCCTGTCAACATAATTAGTCTACTGTTTTAGAAGCGTTTTCTTCTATCTCCATATATTTCGGAGGGAATTACATAAAATGATTATAAAACCTCCTTTATCTTTATTACCGTATGTATTAAAATAATTCACATACAAGGGAAGTAATTTTGATATTAAATCGGATAAATATTTTTCTCGTTGTCTCCCTTTGTTTGACAATGGCGATATTTAAACTGTCATGGCGCTAAAAGCTCCCTGTTGCCTGTCAAATACATATTTTGCCTGAAAATAACCTTTCCTAACACGTTCCTAGAAGCAAACCAATATTTAGATAAGTATTCTTATATTTGATACATCTTGAAAGAATAGCTGTCAGGCAAGTGATAGCGTGAACCAGACTTTTGGCGTGTGAGCAAGATAAACATAATAAAGCCATATCAACATTACGTACAATAAACGATGTTAAAATGGTTGTCATTTATAGTGAGTCATATTTACTAATATTGATTCCTTTGGATCAAACTCCTTCAAAATTAATACAGAGGCTGATCATGTAGTGCGTCATTGTTAAATGGATAACGTTTGAACTTGATAAGTTCATTTATACGCATGCTCATTGCGTTGTTGAAGGCCATATCCACCAAAACATTCGACATTTGCGTTCATGGCAAAATTTACTAATATGAAAACATGGAGCTGAATGCGTATGTATATCTGTTACCAAAAGCACTACTGACTGCTACTTTTTTTCAACTTTGAACATTAGATTTATGTTCCTTGAATAAGCCATGTTTTGTCTCCAATTCATGTGCAGGACTTACGTTTAAATATTGTTCTTTGTGAGACAGTTAAAATGTCACCTGTTAATATGCAAGATTTGACTTAATCTCTTAAGTAGCGATATTTGACATACTGTTTCGAAGAACTTTGTCTATGGAGACTAGTAATGTAAATAAGCCAAGTTCTTTGAAAGGGAGGTTGATCATCGCTTTGATTTTTGACGAAGATTAAAGTAAAGCATGCGACAAATTAATCGTAAAATGGCACAAAATGTTTTGTAAATGCATGTGGGATCCCGCTATTTTATCTCAGGGTCTTTCAAATAGAAATTTGAAAGACCCTGTTTATCTATAAGAATGAAAAGGGCGATACAAGACATTTTAAAAAAAGAAATCTTGCATGTCAACAGGTGACATTTTAACTGGTCCTAACAAGACGCCGTATGTTTAGGCTATCTGCACTAAATCCACATGGAATGCAACAGTTATTTAAAGGTGAAATTAAGAAGACGCTTTTTGAATATCTTTGCTGGGGGCTTGGTCGTATGAACACAAAGTAACAAAGAGGAACAAGTACCGGGGTAATAATAAAACACAGTGAAATTTAACGTTGCAGTTTTAAGATGTCCGCTTTTTCCCAAAGAAGCTCTTTTATATTTGAATTTTCAATTCAATTTTATGCAAAAGAAAACACCTATCTTTGTCCTCTATAGTGTTCCTTACAATAACGAGAACTTCTTTTGTAGCTTTTAAAGCTACATGCCTCCAGATGAGCCAAAATATATCTATTTGATGCGTCTCCATCGAAGTCATAGTTTGGTTTAAGTTTTTGCTTGCAAGGTGTACCTCTAAAACTACTGAAGGAAATGGGTTGAAACTTCACACACTTATTTCTGACAGAACTATGGCCCTTTTGAACTTAGAAATTCTACATTAAATCAAGGCTCTTGTTTTTAAGTTATCAAGCACTGAGAATAGTCGAGCACTCTGACTCACCGACAGTTCTTGTTATAAAAACGCACTGCATCATTTCTAGATATATTTTTTACTTACGATGAATTTCGTTCTTTATTTTACATATTTTTTCAAGATTTTACTGACAACTAAATGACATCATACCAAGATTTCTTTTCATGAAAAATGTTTCATTATAAGGAATAACAGTTCTCTTATTCAAGCGGATAATATATTCATTTGGTATGTCATTTTTCTTGGTTATGAGGTTTATTTGTAAACAGTCGACTCTCTTTATCTCGAAGTCATCCGGACCATCAAAAATATTGAGATAACGAAATGTCGAGATAAACAAACAAGTGTTTGAACCAGTCAGAAACTTATTTTTACAAAAGACTTGTGCATGGATTAATAAGCGGATGAACACATGGTTTATAAGTAAAGATGCAATCGGATCCATTACTATAGTTGACACTTAAGTACTTTGTTCTCGTACACGTACACATACAACCTCTTTGATGTTCTTCACGTAATTACTTCACAGTCATAACTCGGCCTTTGCTTTATTTCCCGGCACTAAAACAATAAAGAAACATCAATGTTTACATAAATACATACATGTATATTGAAGTAGTATAGTTAAAAACTATTTTTACATACAACGTAATAGAAAAAAATGGATATTTAAAACACATATGTGTTGCATATAATATATGTAATATAATGCCAATTATAAAATTGTTCATGTATAAAAATTGTCCATCAAAAACTCATTAAATAATCCAACCTTACAATCATATGAACTTTCCGTCAGGGGTCTTACAGACATGGACACATCATGGAAAATCAGTGTTGACAGGGAAAATCATGCATTGAGTCTTGATTTAGGGGATTCTATCATGGAGAAAAAACATTTTTTTTTAAATAATGTCATGAAGCAGACATGGACATATCATGGAAATAAGTTTTGACGGAATCTTGATTTAGGGGATTTTATCATGGAAAATCATGTAATTTTATAATCAAAGTCACCTTAGTGCAGTAAGGGGTTAACTCGTATTAGATTATATAAGGAGTTAACCCGTTACTGCACTAAGGTGACGACATAATGTCATGAAAAGTAAAAAAATAACGTGAATGCATGAGAATATGCATGAAAAGATCAGAAACAATTGAAAAAAAGTAATATAAAATCACAGAGAAGAATGTTTTGCATAGCTATGAACAATGCCACCCCATTTAGGTTGAATATGCTAAAGATGAAACAAATTGATTTGTCTACTATTGCACTATTTCAAAATTTTTAGTATTTTGAGTGTGACTTTGCATGAAATGTCTGGAAATGCATAGAACAAAACAAAAAATATAATTCCTAATTACAGATATTTTAATTACAGTCTGAGTTACTTCTAAGGTTAGATTTAATAAACGTAAATGGCTCTTTGAACAAGCTGATGTAAATAAATTGATAAATTAATACTGTCATTTTTGTCTAAACAAAATGGACGATCTGAAATAGCGCATTTATAGGAGTATCTATTCTGTAATGTAAGGGAGGTAATTCAATTATATTTTTATATTTTCTGAGATGAGTTATTTCGCTTTTAAACTTTGTAACCAATGCAATATGTTTTTGTTTGTCAATTGAAAAAAATATTTTGTTGCTTAACATCTGAAATGTAAACAATGAGTTATAATTTTTTATCCTATTTCCTATTTTGTTGTGTAACCTCTGAACTATGAATGTTTTTGTCAATCACGTAACACTTACTGAGGGACAGATCAACAATACAAAGACCGGATATATCCACTGCAGTCAAATCAAATTAAATATCGCTACTTTATCTATTTAAAACAAGAGATTTAGTCAAATTTTACATGTCACAATTGCAAAGTCCTTTTGCACTGTGTGATACAGCAACCTGTCTTTTCCATGTATTTTGAGGAAAAGGCTATTAGCATTAAGTGAGAAAAAAAATTCGCCAAGTTTGTGGATTTGAGAATTTTGGAAAATAAAATGTAAAAAAACTACATAAAAAGTGACTTTTAAGGGTTATTTATAAACATGTTTATATGCACTTTATGTGTCGCCTTGAAAAGGCGACATATAGGGGTTACTTTTGTCGGCGTCGTTGTCGGCGTCCCCTAAAGCTTGTCAGGAGCATAACTCTTGTAAAGCTGGTATGCATGCTTCTTTCGATAACCCGAAGTGCAGTGCTTAAAGACCGCTACTTTGCACTTCTTAGTTTTTGAGTTATTGCCCTTTGTTAATTTTCATACTTTAATTTTGTCCGGGCCATTTCTCTTCAACTATAAAATCTATTGACTTGAAACTTCATAGGATGATAGATCTCATTAAGAAGAAATGCAGTTTTCAAGAACTGACCCTCTTTTTTCTTATTTTTTTTTAGTTATTGTCCTTTGTTAATTTTCA